GCGAATTCATGAGACACGAAGTTGCCTATTTAGGACACATAATCAATGAATCAGGTATTTCTCCTAATCCTGAAAAGATCAAAGCCATAACAGAATATCCAAACCCACAAAATCCAAAACAAATCAAACAATTTCTAGGAATTATTGGATATTACCGTCGTTTTATTCTAGATTTTTCCAAACACGCGAAACCCCTAACAAATCTTCTCAAAAAGGACATTCCATTCGTCTGGACCGACGAACAACAAGAATCTGTTGAATATTTTAAAAGAATTCTGACTCATCAACCAATACTACAGTTTCCCGATTTCAGTAAAGAATTCATACTCACAACAGACGCATCTAACTACGCAATTGGAGCTATTCTTTCGCAGATGACAGCTGGAAAAGATCTTCCTGTTGCCTATGCCTCGCGAACCCTAAATTCTCACGAAATAAACTACTCCACTACAGAAAAGGAACTCCTCGCGATCGTGTGGTCTACGAACCATTACCGACCCTACCTCTATGGACGAAAGTTCATTATTCAAACCGATCACAGACCTTTAGTCTGGCTTTTCAATTGTAAAGACCCTAGCTCACGTCTTCTTCGTTGGAGACTCAAATTGGAAGAATACCAATACACAATTCAATACAAACCTGGAAGAATCAACTCAAACGTTGATGCACTTTCTAGAAATCCCGTCCTAACTATTCAAACCTATGATCAACCCGATACATATGATAATTTCATCAAGTTTCACTATACCAAAACTCAACTTTCAGAAATAGAAATAATAAAAGATAACATTTTGAAACATTTTCCGAATATATTCCTATTTTCCAAAGATTTAGATGAAAATAACGATTTTTACGAAAATCTTAGTAAATCATATGATTTCAATCAAATTTCTTGTGATAATTTGTCACTATACGATTTTGTTAAACTAACAAACGAAAAAAACGAAACAACCTATCTATCAATTGTAAAAATCAATCATTTCGAAAAACTAACCTATAAAGATTTATTTTATGCCTTGAAAAATATCAGAACCGAATTTTCTACTACTGGTATAAATAAATTTTATATGAAAAATCCAATCGAAAACAATACAAACTTGAAGCAAGACCTAATAAATGAAATGATGGATTATCTGTTTTCAAAATCTGACATAAATGTTATTCTTGTGAACAAACCTAAAATTGAACCTAAAGACGAACATGAAATAAAAAAGGTACTCGAAGAAAATCACGGTTCTTCAGTATCAGGTCATTCAGGATACTTAAGAACTTATAAACGAATAAAAGAAAATTATAAATGGCACGGAATGAAACAAGATATCAAAAATTTCATAAAAAAATGCCAATCTTGTCAGATCAACAAAACAAATCACCATCCAGGAAAATCTCCGATGCAAATAACAACAACTTCAGAAAAACCTTTTCAAAGACTAGCAATAGATGTTGTTGGTCCACTTCCCCTCACAATGAACGGAAACAAATTTATAATAACCATGCAAGATGACTTAACGAAATTCTCTTATGCTAAAGCAACCGCGAATCATGAAGCAGAGACAGTAGCAAATACTTTGTTAGAATTCATTACAATATTTGGAATATTCCCGAGTCCATACTCACCGATCAAGGAAGTGATTTCACTTCTAAGTTGATCAAAGAAATCAACAGACTTTTCAAAATTAAACATATTTTATCAAGTCCATATCATCCACAAACAAATGGAGCCTTAGAAAGGAGCCATCTGACCTTGAAAGAATATCTTAAGCACTATATAAACAGTCAACAGAATGACTGGGATGAATTTGTAAGTTTAGCAATATTCACTTACAATGGACACATACACAAAAGTACTAATTATACTCCATATGAGCTAATTTTCGGACATAAAGCTTCTATTCCAAATACTCTTACTACGAAACCAGAATTTCGCTACTCTTATGATGATTATTACTCTAATTTGAAATTGAAATTCAATAAATCCTATGAAATAGCACGAGAAAACCTAATAAAATCCAAAGAAAAATCTAAACAGTACTACGATCGTAATATACGAGACCAAAAGTTCGAAACGAACGATCTTGTATATATTTTGAATAAGCAAACTAAACCCGGTTTAAACAAGAAACTTTCACCAAACTATAAAGGTCCATACAAAATAGTGAAAATAAACAACAACAACACTTCTGATTTGGAAATAAAACCCAACAAAATAGTAACGTACCACAACAATTTATTGAAACATTTTGTTTCAGATGAGGATACTTGTGACGACGCTGGTCCCTCTAATCCTCTACCTTAATACTACGATTACAAAATGCAACCCTCAACCATATACTATTAGTCCTATCCAGAAAAATCCTGGAATATTTTATCATAACTTAGGTTTAGCATTAGTTTCTAATGATCATTACACTTTACTCACGTATCTGAATATATCATTCTATCAAAGGAAATTGAAGTTCATAGAAAACATCTATACAAAATCAGAGACGATTTGTAATAATATCTACGAGTCTGACAAAAACGATAAGATGTATGTTCATACATTTCATTGTTCCGAAGGGCTCAAATTTCTAAAAATTCAAATTCCTAAGCTCAAAGAAAAATTTGAATCTGTCTGTCATTTAACTGGTCACTATTTTGAGACACCTGGTATAAGACAAAAACGAGGAATATTTGACGGAGCTTCCTACGCATTCAAATGGCTATTCGGCATTCCCGATGCTGAAGATGCACAATTTTACACTGACTCTATCGACGCCGTTATGAAACAAAATCATGATGTGCAGATGCTCATGAAACAACAAGTTCAAATCATATCAGATGCTATATCTAAATATAATCAGTCATACCTAGCCTTGAAAATTAATGAAGAAAAATTGAATTCAAATATTGAAAAATTCAATGAATTTTCTAAAACCACATTGAATGCATTGAATGGAATACGGTACACACAAACTATTACAGATCATGTGAACTTACTGGATCAACTGATAAATGAATTAAACGAGGAATATGATATTCTTATACAATCTATACTGTTTTCTAAACAAAATATCTTGCATCCATCTGTCATAACACCTAAACATCTGAAAGATGAATTATTTGCAATAAAACTACCCTCTAACATGGAATTTCCTATTCCAATAGATAAAAATGACTTGATTTACAAATATTTTTCTATATCCAAACTATCAGTGATTTATAACAAAGAAATTTTGATATTTGCGATCAAAATACCGTTAGTACAAGATAAAATGTTCAATATGTATAATTTGATTCCATTGCCTTCTGCATTCAATAACTCTAACATATATTCCTATATTGATCCTCCATTTCCCTACCTATTATTGAGTACTACCCGAGCACAGTATGGAAGATTGAAGGATCTATCGAGTTGTCAAATGCTATTTGAACGTGAATATATTTGTCACCATCCGATTATCCATCTGACTACTGAACAGCCAGTATGTGAAGTAATCATACGAACTCAGACAATTACTCAGATTCCACCTGATTGTCCGACAAAAACAATCAGATCAAACATGGAATTATGGCATCCCATTAGTAGTAATCAATGGCTTTACGTTCTAACACAACCAATCACTGCTTCGATCAGTTGTGCTTCATACAGTCCCGAGATATTCGATGTCAACCTGAAAGGTATCGGAATATTTTCCATGAAAGCAACTTGCAAATGCTACACATTCTCAACACTCCTTATAGCCACTACAAACCAGTCGTCAAACTTCACCAACTTCATTCCAGAAGTTGATATCAACCAAGATGACTGTTGTTTACAAAAGCAAAATTACCTAACATCAAGTGAGATGGAACCACTCAAGTTGAACAATATCAACTTAGATGATCTACGTCATGCTCAGCATAAACTCAACCAGTTCGACGAAATTCTACAACAGAATCTGAACAAACCTTTCATCGTTCAACACTCCAAATGGTACAATGTTCTACTTGGCATCATAGTAACGACAATTATACTGATATCCTTTTACTGTTGTTGCTGTCGATGTTGTGATTGCCGCTGGATTCCAATCATTGGGAGATTCTTTCCCAAGCCAGTCAAAATTGCTGATATTTGTATAAATAGCCATAATAGTATTAGCAATAGCCAGATATACCCATCAGCTATTCAACTCAGCGAACTCAGAAATCAAGAAAACCGAAGGACTTCAACAATCTTTTATCACGACGACCCAGAAGAGAGGGCCAATGCGAGAAAACTATTCCCAATGCCTCGCAGTTCACTCTTCGTACCCAAGAAGTCACTCAAAGTGTAGTGCAGTGAAGTGAAAAATAAAAAGGTCATTTTAGTTCTAGTTTTGATCGAAAAATCAACACCCAATCAAAACTCTTAATCGCCGGGGTGTTAGATACCTAACTGCTTATATGTATAATGGACATATCATTCTATAACACTCAGTATATCATTATTCACATATTATATTGTAATATCAGAACTTGCTTTTCTTCGTCGCAAAATGAACAAGGCGATAAGCACGTATAATTCTTTGAATCGCCTTCTGCATCCGAGCTCTATGTTGACAGTGCATTTTTTGCAAGTGCATACTTTTCTCGATGCACTTTTCCTTACAGTTCACTTTAGAATCTTGGATCGAAATGTTTAAGTAGTAAAGATATAATCATTGTTCTGTAGCCTCAACAGTGAATAAAGTTTAGTTAACCCTGTTCCATCGAAATTACTCTTGTTCCTCCCTTGGTACACAACATAAGGCACAATTATAAACTACAGGAAGTTGCCAATATATTCATATTTTTACAGATTTTGTCAGCGAAAATGGTCCCCAAACACCAGACTGGCCCGTTAAAATCATCTCAAGGCCATTTCATCATCAGCCTAGCCTAGCCTAATAACTTGATGTTGTTCTACATGATCGTATTAGTCCATCAAAACAACATTTCTATCGAGAAAGTATAGTAAACAGGATTCTACTATACATATAGAAACAAAATATAACACCAGAATGTCAACTGTCGCAAACTCGGTGGAATGTAATATATGTCAAAAGAAATTCAATAAAAAAAATTTTCTCGTTCACATGAGACTGCACTCTGGTGATAAACCGTTCCAATGTGATGTATGCCAGAAGAAATTCCCAACCAAAAATTATTTGACTAAACACTTTATAGCACACACTGACGAAAAACCGTTCGAATGTGAAATTTGTCAGAAAAGGTTTCCATCTAGAGGTCGTTTGAATCGACACCATAAGGAAATGCACACTGACGAAAAACCATTCGAATGTAACATTTGTCTGAAAAAGTTTCTTTATAAAAGCATTTTGGATCAACATCGTACAGTACATAGTATCGAAACACCTTTCGAATGTGATAAGTGCCAAAAGAAATTTGTGACCAAGGATTATTTGACCAGACACTATTTAGTGCACACTGGCGAAAAACCGTTCGAATGTGACTTGTGTCCGAAAAAGTTTCCAACTAAAGCTCGTTGGAATCGACACTATAAGAAAACACACACTGGCGGAGAACCCCTCGAATGTGACATTTGTCTGAAAAAGTTTCTATATAAAAGTACTTTTGATCAACATCGTATAGTACATACCATCAAAACACCATTCGAATGTGATATGTGCCAGGAAAAATGTTCAACACTCACTCATTTGACCGAACACCAATTAGTTCACACTAGCAAAAAACCGTTCGAATGTAACAAGAGTCAGGGAAAAAGCAACAAACAGATTGATTTACCTACACACAATGAAGTAGACAATAAACCTTTCGAATGTAATGTTTGTCTGAAGAAGTTCACGTGTAGCGAAACTTTGATGCAACACAATATCATACACACTGACAAAAAACCGTTAGAATGTGATATATGCCAGGAAAATTTTTCAACACTAACTCATTTGACCGAACACCAATTAGTTCACACTAACGAAAAACCGTTCGAATATGACATGTGTCCGAAAAAGTTTCCGACTAAAGCTCGTTTGAATCGACACTATAAGAAAATACACACTGGCGGAGAACCCCTCGAATGTGACATTTGCCTGGAAAAGTTTCTATATAAAAGTATTTTTGATCAACATCGTATAGTACATACCATCAAAACACCATTCGAATGTCATATGTGCCAGGAAAAATGTTCAACACTCACTCATTTGACCGAACACCAATTAGTTCACATTAGCGCAAAACCATTCGAATGTAACGAGAGTCAAGAAAAATGCAACAAACAGATTGATTTACTTACACACAATGAAACAGACAATAAACCTTCCGAATGTAATGTTTGTCTGAAGAAGTTCACGTGTAGCGAAACTTTGATGCAACACAATTTCATACACACTGACGAAAAACCGTTAGAATGTGATATATGCCAGGAAAAGTTTTCAACACTAACTCTTTTGGCCGAACACCAATTAGTTCACACTAGCAAAAAACCTTTCGAATGTAACAAGAGTCAGGGAAAAAGCAACAAACAGATTGATTTACCTACACACAATGAAGTTGACAATAAACCTTTCGAATGTAATGTTTGTCTGAAGAAGTTCACGTGTAGCGAAACTTTGATGCAACACAATATCATACACACTGACAAAAAACCGTTAGAATGTGATATATGCCAGGAAAATTTTTCAACACTAACTCATTTGACCGAACACCAATTAGTTCACACTAACGAAAAACCGTTCGAATGTGACATGTGTCCGAAAAAGTTTCCGACTAAAGCTCGTTTGAATCGACACTATAAGAAAATACACACTGGCGGAGAACCCCTCGAATGTGACATTTGCATGGAAAAGTTTCTATATAAAAGTATTTTTGATCAACATCGTATAGTACATACCATCAAAACACCATTCGAATGTCATATGTGCCAGGAAAAGTGTTCAACACTCACTCATTTGACCGAACACCAATTAGTTCACATTAGCGCAAAACCATTCAAATGTAACGAGAGTCAAGAAAAATGCAACAAACAGATTGATTTACTTACACACAATGAAACAGACAATAAACCTTCCGAATGTAATGTTTGTCTGAAGAAGTTCACGTGTAGCGAAACTTTGATGCAACACAATATCATACACACTGACGAAAAACCGTTAGAATGTGATATATGCCAGGAAAAGTTTTCAACACTAACTCTTTTGGCCGAACACCAATTAGTTCACACTAGCAAAAAACCGTTCGAATGTAACAAGAGTCAGGGAAAATGCAACAAACAGATTGATTTACTTACACACAATGAAATAGACAATAAACCTTCCGAATGTAATGTTTGTCTGAAGAAGTTCACCTGTGGCGAAACTTTGATGCAACACAATATCATACACACTGACGAAAAACCGTTAGAATGTGATATATGCCAGGAAATGTTTTCAACGCTAACTCATTTGACCGAACACCAAGTAGTTCACACTAGCGAAAATCCGTTCGAATGTGACAAGAGTCAGGAAAAATGCCAAAAACAAAGTGATCTGCTTACTCACGATGAAGTGGGCAATAACCCATTAGAATGTGATATCTGTCAGAAGCAATTCAACAAAAGCAAGAGTCTGCTCATACACATGAAACAGCATACTGGCGATAAACCTTTCGAATGCGAAATATGCCATAAGACATATTCAACTGAAGATAATTTGAATAAACACCTTTTAGTGCACACTGGCGAAAAACCGTTCGAATGCGACATTTGTCTGAAAAAGTTCACTACTAAGCATCATTTGAAACGACACCTTAAACAAATGCACACTGTCGAACAACCGTTCGAATGTGATATTTGCCAAAAAAAATGTGCAACAAAAGGACTCTTAATTAGACACCAATTAGTGCACACTAGCGAAGAACCGTTCGAATGTGTCATTTGTCTGAGAAAGTTTAAATCTCAGAGTCGCCTAAAAATACACCACAAAGAATTACACACTGTCGAACAACCGTTTGAATGTTACATTTGTCAGAAAAAATTCCATAAGAAGAGGAATTTGCTCATACACGTTAGAGTCCACAATAAGCACTTTGAATGTGACATTTGTCTGAAGAAGTTCACTTGCAGGGGAATTTTGATCCAGCACAAGTATGTGCACACTGGCGAAAAACCGTTCGAATGTAAAATCTGCCATAACAAATTTGCAACCAAACGATATTTGGCCAGACACCACTTAGTGCACACTAGCGATGAATCATTCGAATGTGATATTTGTCTCAATAAGTTCCATACTAAGAGTAATTTAAATAGACACTATAAGGCACTACACACTGATGAAAAACTGTTTGAATGCGACTTGTGTATGAAAAAGTTTGTATATAAGGGTCTTTTGGATCAACACCGTGCAATACACACTGGCGATTCACCGTTCGAATGCAATATATGCCATAAGAGATATTCAACTCTAGCTTATTTGACCAAACACCATTTAGTGCACACTGGCGAAAAACCGTTCGAATGTCACATTTGTCATAAAAAGTTCAGATTTCAGAGCCCGTTGACTCAGCACCTCAAAATACACACTGGTGAAAAACAGTTCGGATGCGACATTTGTTCGAAAAAGTTGTCGACCAATACTCATCTGATCAATCACTATAAAATTCACACTGGCGAAAATAGGAAACCGTTCGAATGTGCTACATGCCAGAAAACCTTCCATTCCAAAAATGCTTTGGCTGCCCACCAGGTATTTCACACTGGCGAAAAACCGTTCGAGTGTGACGTTTGCGGGAAAAAATTTCCACTCAAGCAGTATCTGATGAAGCATCGTAAAGTACACAACAAACAGCAACACGATGTACTGTTCGAATGTGATTTTTGCCCGTGCACATTCGCCATCGAGAAAAAATTGACCGAACACCGATTGGTCCATACTGGCGAAAAGCCTCTCGACTGTGAAGTTTTCCAGAGATGGTATGTACAGATCCACTTTTTATAAGTTTTTATTTAGTTTCCCTTGTCCTGATGTCTGTCTGTGTGTCTGTCTGTGTCTGTCTGTGTCTGTCTGTGTCTGTCTGTGTCTGTCTGTGTCTGTCTGTGTCTGTCTGTGTCTGTCTGTGTCTGTCTGTGTCTGTCTGTGTCTGTCTGTGTCTGTCTGTCTGTGTCTGTCTGTGTCTGTCTGTGTCTGTCTGTGTCTGTCTGTGTCTGTCTGTGTATGTCTGTGTCTGTCTGTGTCTGTCTGTGTCTGTCTGTGTCTGTCTGTGTCTGTCTGTGTCTGTCTGTGTCTGTCTGTGTCTGTCTGTGTCTGTCTGTGTCTGTCTGTGTCTGTCTGTGTCTGTCTGTGTCTGTCTGTGTCTGTCTGTGTCTGTCTGTGTCTGTCTGTGTCTGTCTGTGTCTGTCTGTGTCTGTCTGTGTCTGTCTGTGTATGTCTGTGTATGTCTGTGTCTGTCTGTGTATGTCTGTGTCTGTCTGTGTCTGTCTGTGTCTGTCTGTGTCTGTCTGTGTCTGTCTGTCTGTGTCTGTCTGTGTCTGTCTGTGTCTGTCTGTGTCTGTCTGTGTCTGTCTGTGTCTGTCTGTGTCTGTCTGTGTCTGTCTGTGTCTGTCTGTGTCTGTCTGTGTCTGTCTGTGTCTGTCTGTGTCTGTCTGTGTCTGTCTGTGTCTGTCTGTGTCTGTCTGTGTCTGTCTGTGTCTGTCTGTGTCTGTCTGTGTCTGTCTGTGTCTGTCTGTGTCTGTCTGTGTCTGTCTGTGTCTGTCTGTGTCTGTCTGTGTCTGTCTGTGTCTGTCTGTGTCTGTCTGTGTCTGTCTGTGTCTGTCTGTGTCTGTCTGTGTCTGTCTGTGTCTGTCTGTGTCTGTCTGTGCCTGTCTGTGTCTGTCTGTGTCTGTCTGTGTCTGTCTGTCGTTGTCTCTCTGTCGTTGTCTCTCTGTCGTTGTCTCTCTGTGTCTGTCTGTGTGTCTGTCTGTGTCTGTCTGTGTCTGTCTGTGTCTGTCTGTGTCTGTCTGTGTCTGTCTGTGTCTGTCTGTGTCTGTCTGTGTCTGTCTGTGTTTGTCTGTGTCTGTCTGTGTCTGTCTGTGTCTGTCTGTGTCTGTCTGTGTCTGTCTGTGTCTGTCTGTGTCTGTCTGTGTCTGTCTGTGTCTGTCTGTGTCTGTCTGTGTCTGTCTGTGTCTGTCTGTGTCTGTCTGTGTCTGTCTGTGTCTGTCTGTGTCTGTCTGTGTCTGTCTGTGTCTGTCTGTGTCTGTCTGTGTCTGTCTGTGTCTGTCTGTGTCTGTCTGTGTCTGTCTGTGTCTGTCTGTGTCTGTCTGTGTCTGTCTGTGTCTGTCTGTGTCTGTCTGTGTCTGTCTGTGTCTGTCTGTGTCTGTCTGTGTCTGTCTGTGTTTGTCTGTGTCTGTATGTGTCTGTCTGTCTGTCTGTCTGTCATCAAATCTTGCAAGTTGAATATGACACACCTCAAATCTTCCGATTGATTCAAAACTAGGCGAGTGGACTAATTTTTCGGTCAATTTTAAGGTGCCAGAATCATCAATAATGCCACGGTAATTTTCAAACGGCCAGAAATTTACCGCGAATAAAAACTGACGTCACGATTTCGTAAGGTGGGGCAGACCATAGCACAGTTGCCATATGCTGAAATACGATTATGAACTTCAGACATATTAGTTATTCAATAATGAATGAATACTCAATCATGTATTGGTAATATTCCTAATTAGCATTAAGGTATCAATTGCCTCAAAATGTTCCCTCATGATTTGTGGCTTATTGCTTATAATACATTCGTGTAAGTAATAATTATATCAATTCATTCTAGAGGACATTTGAACCGGTAAACGCTCGAGTAAACGTGACAACACGGCGCTCGACTTGTGGGCGTGGTCTTGTCAGTTCTCAGCATTGTTGCCAAGTCCCCAACATTCACATGATATTTTGTTATGATGTATAGGAAATATTTGAACATTTTGAACATGCTGGTTGATCCAAATAGTCAAGAATCAACTTTAATAAAATTTATTCAACGAAATGACTCTTAACATCTTTTTGACAACATGATTATAATTCACAAAGAAAGAGAAACTCAAAGGCATTACCACAATAGTCATGAAATGAACGAAAATGGTAAATAACTACTTTTCTGGCTATATGCCACACAGAACATTGAGTTACATCCTCCCGAAATCTATGCAATAATTCGTATAGACGAATGAAATCGCATGTGTTTCCTTCCTCAACGACGAGCTGCGCCTAAGTGGTTCAGGAACGCGTTACCTGAAGACCGGTTTCGAGCTCTTGGCTCCCATCAGTGCAGGGCTGTCCCAGATAGCATTCTTGACCGCTATCTGGTACGAACCTGACCCAACGTAAACACATTTCAGCATTTTATACCCCACGAGGCGCTCAACGTCCGCGAAATGAACGCGAACGCCACCTGGCAAGAAAAGAAACACTTCAAAACAAGATCCCATTTCAAGTGAAATTGGAGTTGCTGGTTGCCCGACCGGCGTATTTTCGATTAGAAAAAAGCCAAATACTCAAAGTCAAATGCAATGGTCACAAAGAGAGAGAAACTCGGTCATTGCCACAATAGTTCATAAAATGAACGAAAATTGTAGATAACGAGAGAACAACTACTTTCCTGGATATATGCCACGCAGAACATTGAATTACATCCTCCCGAAATGTATGCAAAAATTCGTATAGGCGAATAAAATCGCAAGTGTTTCCTTCTGAATAATTCGCATACTCTCAAATTATACAGGGTGGCTGAAAATAATTTTTCAATTCGGACCTTTTCGAAGTGATTTTTTTTTTGAGTTTTTCAAATGGAACACCCCATATATTTTTTGGCCATGTGATACATAATTGAAACACGAACATTTTCTGCTGCCTTAATTTGAAGCGACCTTCTACTTCCTAAGTGCATTTATTAAGACCTCGAGTTTTTTACAGGTACAAAACAGAGAACACTCTGATAACTCATAGTGAGGTGGACATTGGCAAAACTTCTCATTCTATTGTTGAATCTCTGGAGGGAGATCAATGTACGAACGAGTTTTCTGTTGAGGCTGATTCAAACAAACACCACTCTGAAACGAAAATCGAAACTTGCTCAGTTGGTGACGAAATAGAAGCCGAACTGAAAATGGAAACTGAGCAAAGTGTGTTAATGAAAAGTGAATGTAAAGTTGAAATAGGTCATCATCCAGTGGAATTTGTAAATGTTGAACAATTCATAAAACCTGAGAAAGAGGAGATCATTTGAAGAATGAATGTCTAAGAAATTCTGTCCGTTATAAATCTGTGTCTATGAAGTTACCATAAAAGCAACCATTTCCAATAGTTGACTTTTGATGGCATGCGATTTTTTTATTATTCATTCATTCCAATAGGAATCGAAGTGCTACATTATTGGCATCTAAGAGAGTTCTTTATTCAGAAAGGGAGCTATCTAGACGAAAATAATAATAAATGTACTTGAATTTCAAACCCCCTCTCTTCAATTTCTTATAATATTCTTTACTGTAATCAAAATGTAGCACTTTCCATTGAATAAGCAGAAAAAAGTTTCCAGCCATTCAAAAGTGGATGAACAGTATACCGGGTGGCTACGGAAGTATTGCCTACGGAATATCTCAGTTATTGTATGAAGTAGGTTCGTGAAATTTGGAGCGTCGATATAATGACATAAGAGCTAGAATTTGAGCATATTTGCATGTCGAAGTTAACTTCCGGTCTGACCGGAAGTAACATCAACTTTCTTATTTTTTTCTTTTCGCTTTATTCAGCATCCAATTCCCTTTCTGATGACATATCACAAGTTGGTATCTAACCAGAAACTAGATCAGAAAATAATTATTATTGAAATTCACCGAGTAGGCCGTGGAAGCAAAATGGTATTTCATTTCAAAAAATGACTTTCTATTATATCATTAGAAAGGAATGGTTATGCTGAATAGTACAGGCAAGAAAAAGTTATATGTTCCTATTTAAGTTATGGACCTACAGAGTATTGATTTTTTCCCAATTTTTCCAATATTTTTTTTTACGGCTTTTTATAACGCCGACGAATGAAAATAAAATATCACAGTAGTAGCAACTGTTATCAAGTGACGTATGGTTTCCATAGCCAACTTTTCAATTTTTGGCCTTCATTTTGCTTCCACGGCCTACTCGGTGAATTTCAATAATAATTTTTCTCTGATCTAGTTTCTGGTTAGATACCAACTTGTGATATGTCATTAAAAAGGGAATTGAATGCTGAATAAAGCGAAAAGAAGAAAAAATAGGGTTTCCATTTAAAATAAGAAAGTTGATGTTACTTCCGGTCAGACCGGAAGTTAACTTCGAGATGTCAATATGCTCAAATTCTAGCTCTTATGTCATTATATCGACGCTCCAAATTTCACAAACCTACTTCATACAATAACTGAGATATTCCGTAGGCAATACTTCCGTAGCCACCCGGTATATAGGTATTTTTTTTTATTTATATATATATATATATAAATTATAGTAGAGTTGTAAATTGCGCATTATGTATGAAAGTGAATACAAAGTTGAAGAAGAACTCAAGTCCAATAAGTATACCTTTTTTATTCTTTCCTTATATCCACCACCCATGTTTTTTTTATTTGAATTTTTTTATTGACCTGGATGTCCACAGAATTCTCAAAAACATGACATAAATACAAAAAAAAATGTAACTAGGATTATTACACTTGAAGAATAAGATAAGCGGTATATCCTATACTGTGTTGGCTAAACATCATAGTTATGTCCTTTTCAAGACTTAAGGAAATCATATATCGTTTTTGTACTATTAATTGTTTTTTTATTGTACTATTAATGAATCAACTCATTAAATGTTTCTTGGATCGCAATAATAAATTGGTGAAATCAGGAAAATATGAGATTTTTCCAAAAATCTAATATGCACTAATATGCAGAGAACAGAATATCCCAACAACAAAAATCAGTTTATAACAACACAACTTTCATATGAAGTTTTTTCTTTATGCTAAAATAACGATGTTAATGTTTCACATATGTCAAAATTGTGACGTTTTAGTGGTTTCAATCAATATCAAAATAATATGCTTAATTCTAGCCAATCATTTGGTATCATACTGATAATTTCTTATAGTATAGCAAATTACAGCGATAATATTTCCACGTTTGGATGGTCGTTTAAGAAGGAGTCCATTAGACTGCGCTAATATATAGGCTGTTTTGTAAAAACTTCGCAAACGATAAGATTTCCACAAAATTCTCAAACACACGACATATTTCGCTAACACAGTGTAGCTTCGTCAGATTAGGTTGTGTTAGCGAAACATGTCCGTGTGTTTGAGAATTATGTGGAAATCTTATCGTTTGTGAAGTTTTTACATTTGCCATAGATTTCCATCAAGTAATGCCGAGTCAATTAAAAAAAAAGTTGTTTTGTTCGATAAACAAGTCTGTTGGGACGAAAATTACATTCGTGGTGGTAATTATTTTTCATAATTTTAAACTAGATTAGCTCCCGTCTTTGTTGCTATTGAGAAATGCCACTCTTGAGATATTTCTTCTCATAGACTGCGTTGATATAAGCTGTTTTGTTTGACAAATAAGTCTGTTGGGACCACGATAAAAATGCCGCAAAACCGAAGTGTGTGGCTGTGAAATCAAGTGAAATGTTCGTTTTTGTTGGGCATTTTACGAAATAGTTATGAAAATAATCACGCTGGATTACATTCGTGGTGGTAATTATTTATTATAATTTTAACTAGATCAGCACCCGTCTTTGTTATTGCTATTGAGAAATCCCACTCGTGAGATATCTAGAACAACAAAGATTCGTCCATCAAAATTGTCAAAAAATGACCACCACTTGTGTAATTATTGATGATGATTATTGTTGGCTAATTTATAATGATGAATGACCCTGTACAATTATTCAAATACGTCTGTACTATTGTACTGTATGGTGCATATCCAAACAGGGCAATGTCAATGAAGGCTAAATATCTAGACTGTGACGGGTTATACCGTCAGTAAATCTAGGTATTTAGCGGCCATTGGCTGTGTAACCAGAAATGCCTAAGTCTTTCGAACTATTCCCTTCAAGTTCTGTGCTGCTACACCAACGATGTTCCGTCTAGTGCTAATTTTAGTACTTTTCACTAGAGTCACTGGATGTTATTCGTTTGATAAGAGTTCGGACACAGAAATGACAACGGTTAGGGTTTTTGAATGTTTAGATTCATCAAGTTACACACCTTGCATTGTGACAAGAGCATCATAGTCGTCCCGCGATTTTTCATTCAAAATTGTTTGAATTTGACAATTCATTCTATAAACGTCAGAATTGAAATTAAATATCATAATCATCATACTTTCGAGATAAAAGCAGCTATGCTGTATAATAAATTGTGCCAATTATGAAACAAATGGATATCATTTATTCGATTTTCCAAACCAAATATCAAGCATTCTCTTATGAAAGGAAGATATGAAACGGCCTGGGTGGAAAATCAATTTGAAGACGAGCGGAATTTGTGAGGTAGGTACTCATTGAAATTCACTTCTTATAACAGCATCTGATTAGAATGAATCTATATTTTAGGCCCATTTTCAAACAGAAGATTTCAAAATCTGTTTGAGAGAATCTGCTGTTCCATCAATTTACAAAGCAAACGATTTCAAGAACAAAATTCCATTATTATCATCACACAAAATACAAAACAAAATAATCATGGAAAAAGGTCAAATGATCGCAAAATTACATTATGAAATTGAAAATTTGAAAACGAAACTCAGAAAAGCAAGTAAACTACAACGTGATATATTATTGAATGGCGTTTTTGCTGCTGACCGCGAATTGAAAATTCAACAGTGAAAACTGAATAGATATTTATGTATCAAGGGAATTATTATAAGGGCCTTAATTACGCTGGAGGTTATCGTTTTGGAGATATTTTCTATATCGATCCGTGTTACTTAGCTCCTAGGGCGCTAAGTGAAGTTGATGAGAACTTAAAAAAACCAAGAATTTGGTAGGTCTCGTCAAAATAAATCATTTTTTTCTTATGAAATCTTTATCGAAAAATGATTTGTTCTCTGTATTTCAACACCCTGTGTCTCCGAAATGAAGCATTTCCAGACACAAGCTTATATAGACATTATTTCTTAAAATTGTCTCAGGAATACTCCACTGATGTATATAGTACAGTTTCACATACAATAAGGAATTATAGCTATAAGTTTATCCATATGTATATATTCTCTGATATTAAAATGTTGTTACATGCATTTTTTTCATTTATATAAATCTTGCTCTGCTAGAAGTGTAGGTATCACTATGAATTGAAGTGGGTGTTGTACCCTATATCCATTGTCCATCTACTGCTATGATTGATTTGACAGAAAATATAACCTCTAAAATCGTATCTGACAATCAGGCGCTACTAGGGAAATTGAAAAGACAAAGAGCAGAATATATGTCTTATTCTTTTATTCACTTAAACCATTGTATTATAGAAAATAGAAAAGGACAAAAGTTCAGCTGTGTCCGAACTCTTATCAAACTAATACCATACAGTGACTCTACTTTTCACTAACTTCTCAATAAAAAAGCGTACAAGTACTAGAAAGAGAGAATTTCGGCATCCTAGTTCTCGTTGTGAAAAATTGGCTCAGCCAATGCTTTGTGTTTTAAAGAACCTATGATAACTCTACTTTCAACATTTGGTGAACATTCATTCCTGATAGCCCGTTTTAGGCAAATAGGATGACGTTAATTTCTCCCTCCATTATGCTTGTACGCTTTTTTTTGAATACGACTGTACGCCTAGTTTTATTTTCAATTTTTGACTTTTGGGTACATAGAAAATCGAGACAATTTATAAAAATAAAAAAAAGGATTACCGCTTGAATTAATGACAAATAACACGACATTTTTGACTGTTGACTCCAGACCTCAGTTGTCAAATTGGTCACAGCGAATCGCGTGACACATTATGGACGCATGCGCATTTGCTTGTAAGAAAACAGAATCATATATCATATGAGACCCTTGGGGTCTCGAAAGAAAGGAAAACCATCCTTGAAAGCCTAAATCACTAAACAAATGAATGCAGTGGGCTGACGCCATGCTATTGGAGAAACCAGAATGAAACTATCTGACCAAACCCAGCCTCCACAATTTTTTAGGGAAATATAATCAATATAGAACACAAATATCAAGTGATAGGAATAGTTCGAAAGATTTAGGCACTTATGAAGTATATACGGATTCGTGCCCTTGTGTCAACCAGACAAAAGTTCATAGTGGGAGAAAATGAGAAGAAGAAGTTAACCTCAGGAAGTTTCCGAACCCCGGTTAAAATTCGAAAATTTGATGGACGAGAATAAATCCAGGATATTATGTCGGATAGAAAGTGCTTATACAACAAAAATCATCATTTACATATTACTCACAGTAATGGCTTCATAGAGGAACGAAATCTGAACATATCAATCAATAATTTGATAGATTCACTGGTAAATATAAAATGTAATCCTGCTGGATTCATCACTCCATTAACTTCATACATTTTGATGAAAAGATGAATATAGAGTGTCATAAACTTCTTGAGTGTGAGTTTGTATTTTTCCATTTCATCAATACATATTTTCTTGATTTGTATAGATCAAAATATTCTGTTAAATTGAGTGATGTTGCATGATTCCAACCTGAATGAATATAGGTAATTTTCAGCTGATCAAAATACGGGATCCTACAGAATTTACTTTCAACTATACAGAAGGTATAAATGAAAGTGAATATGAAACAATTAGATCAAAACAAAACCTTGATATTGATTTCATTGAATTCAAAACTACCCTACTTGATATGTTGCAGCTGTTTCAGAAGAAAGAAATGTGAGTACCTTTCATCATCTACTTATGAATTTAAGAAATGGTTACCTTTGTTGCCATTGTAGTTGCCATATTTGAAAAATATTGAATTATTTGAAATTATACTAATTCAGTTTGGTAGTTGACAGATATTCCGAGAGATATTCACAGAGACCTCAGCTGACTCAAAATCAAAAAAGTTTATAATTTGGTGTGTGGGAAATATCTCAGGAAATATTGATGAAGGCATGCTAACTCTTGAGCTAACTCTAATAAGTATAGTTCATGGTATCAATGTAACCTACTTGGTGTTCAATTTTACTAATATTTGATTTCCTTGAACTTAGGTCACTAATTATAACAGTTTTCCATTGTGCTGAAATTATTCTCCAGTGTATATAAAAAAACCAAGCAAAACCCATTGAGGATGAAAAACTCGTCTGCATTTGAGTTCAAAAATCAGGAAAAACATATCATTATATGAACATGAAAACATTATTTTATTGTTATGCCATACAAAGAAGTACCTAACTGACCATGAGTTTTGTTGTGCTTTTGTTTTTTTCTAGCATTTCAAAGGACATACTAATTTTGTGGATTTTTAGAGTTCATTAGTTTCATATTTTTGTTTACAAAAGATTTTTTTTTAATAAAATAATTCAAAATATTATTTCAATCAGGTGATTTTATTGAAAGCAACCTTGCTTTGAAGGCTGCCCTTGTAATTTTTTCTTTTTATACTAGCTCATTCTCTATGAGCTAGCAGAACCAAAACATTGAATGAAAAAAATATATCATTCAAGGTGGTCCTACATCACCCATATTAAGCTAGCACAATCACTTTGAATTTTTTAATTTTTCTTCAGCCATAATTTAAGGCTAATTTATTACCCTATTATTCAAGGTGGTCCTACATCACCCTTATTAAGCTAGCAGAACCACTTTGAATTTTTCAATTTTTCTTCAGCCATAATTTAAGACTAATTTATTACCCTATTGTGGAATTTGTTGCTCTTGATTTATGCAAAATAACTTGGGTTCTGCTAGCTTAACGTAAAGCTACTAAATGAAAGTTCAATCACACAACTAATTATAACATAATTTGAGGCTCTAATCCTAGCCTATTGTCGACTTTTTTGAAAAAAATCATGGGTTCAGCTAGCAGAACCAAATCTCTGATAGAAGGAATATAAGAATATTGAGTATACCATTATTTAAAGCTAATTCAAAGCTTTTCATTGAACCTATTATCGATTTTTTTGTTAATCATTTTCTGCAAAAAATTTCCCAAATCCAACATGAACATAACAAGCTATTATATTATGGGTGGGTCACGGTGGATGGCCTATTAGAAGTATCTGGAGAACGAAAAGACAGAACATTCTCAAAATTGGGATGCTGTGATAATTGAACATTCTCTATTCGTCTAAAATGTTTTCATCGATACAGTGTTGCCACTTCTATCAGAAAAAACTAGCAACTTTGTTATTTCAAAAGGAACACCCTGTATTTTATTGCATTTTTTTATTCTTCCTGAGGAGCTGATTTCATCGATGTATCATACTTGGGGTCAAGCAGAAATAATTACAGAGATATAGGGTATTCAAAATCGAGATTTTTCAATGTTAGGATTTTTTTGTGTCGAAACTATTCATTATCGATCAAAACGGCTCACATGTCCCTATCTTAACTTTTGATTCACTATCTACTGGAATTTAATTGGAAAAAATACAAGGTGCTTCAAGATTCAGAAATCTGATCACCCTGTATCTGTTCCAATTAAATGTCAGTAGATAGTGTAGTAAACCGTTTCGATCGATAATGAATAGTTTCGACACAAAAAAATCCCAAAATTGAAAAATCTCGATGTTGAACACCCTATATCTCTGTAATCATTCCTGCTAGACCCCAAGTGTGATGCATTGATAAAATCAGCTCTCTAGGAAGAATCCGAAAATGCAATAAAATACAGGGTGCTTCATTTAAAATAACGAAGTTGCTAGTTGTTTCTGATAGAAGTGGCAACACTGTATCGATGAAAACATTTTAGACGAATAGAGAATGTTCAATTATCAAAGCATCCTGATTTTCAGAATGTTCTGTTTTTTCGTTCTCCAGATACTTCTAATAGGCCATCCACCGTGACCCACCCTGTATATATTATATACTAGCTGACCCGGCAAACGTTGTTTTGCCATAACATTATTTCTGGAGAAAACGTTTTTACATGAATATTTATCAAAGAAATTTCATTATTTTATTTCGGCTATCCATGAAAACAGGATTCTTTAGTTTTTCAAACTATTCTACTTATTCTCTACTTCTTTTTAGTTCGGCACTCTTATCTCTTCATTCTTTCATTTATTTGCTACTCACTTCTTTTTAGTTTGGCTATCTATAAAAACGTGTTTCATTAGTTTTTCAAACTACTATTTATTACAATAGCTGATGCTGATACCTGGCACACGTTGTTTTGCTATACTTAACATACATTTTCTTCTAGAAACTATTTTTTTAGTTAACTATTCATCAACACACTCTTATTATTTTGTTTTGAACTTCTTTTTGCTTTGGAAATCCATGAAATCGTGTTTCATTAGTATTTCAAACTACTATTTTTATTTTCTATTCCTTTTTAGTTCGACAATCTATCTCGTTCTTTAAACTATACTATCAATTTTCTACTTCTTTTCAGTTTGGCCTTGAGTTTGGCTATCAATAAAAGCGTTTTTCAAACTACTATTTATTGAAGCTCTTTCAACATATCGGATCCGCCATCTTGAATTTCCCAATTTTAAATAATAAAATCATAATCTCCGACCCGAAAATCACCCAGATACAAATTTTGAACAGAATCGGATCATAATTACAAAACTCGTCCGCCATATTGGATCCTTCATCTTTAATTTCCTAATTTTTATGAAAGAATCATAATCTCCGACCCGAAAATCACCCAGATACAAATTTTTAATGGAATCGGATCATAGTTACAAAACTCGTCCGCCATATTGGATCCGCCATCTTGAATTTCCAAATTTTGACAAAAGAATCATTATCTCCGATCCCGAAAACCACCCGATACCAATTTTGAATATAATCTGACCATAATTACAAAACTCGTCCGCCATATTGGATCCGTCATTTTGAATTTCCCCATTTTGACAAAATATTCATATCTTGGACCTTTAAAACCTCCAGATACCAATTTTGAATAGAATCTGATCATAATTACAAAACTCGTCCGCCATATTGGATCCGCCATTTTGGATTTCCTTATTTTGATGAAAAAATTATAATCTTCGACCTTAAACACCCCCAGATACCAATTTTGAATGAAATCTGGCCATAATTAAAAAACTCGTCGTCCATATTGGATCCGCCATTTTGAACTTCCTCAATTTGATGAGTAGATCATAATCTTCGACCTCGAAAACCGCCAGATACCAATTTTGAATGGAATCTGACCATAAGTACAAAACTCGTCCGCAATATTGGATCCGCCATCTTGAATTTCCAAAATTTGACGAAAGAATCATAATCTCCGACCCCGAAAACCCCCATATACCAATTTTGAATAAAATCGGATAACAATACTCATCCGCCATATTGGATCCGCCATCTTGAATTTTCGATTTAAAAAAAAGATATCGACCGATTCTCATGCCTACCGAATACGCACAAAAAATTTCATATGAATCGGTCGAGCCGTTTCGGAGGAGTTCGACCACTAACACCGGGACCGGGATAGGAGAATTTTATATATTAGATATATATACAGGGTGATCCACGGTGGATGGCCTATTACAAATATCTGGAGAACAAAAAGACAAAACATTCTGAAAATTGGGATGCTTTGATAATTGAACATTCTCTATCCGTCTAAATTATTTTCATCGATACAGTGTTGCCACTTCTGTCAGCTCACAACTAGCAACTTCGTTATTTTAAATGGAGCACCCTGTATTTTATTGCATTTTTAGATTCTTCCTGAAGAGCTGATTTCATCAATGCATCACACTTGGGGTGCTTGGGGTCTAACAGGAATGATTACAGAGATATAGGGTGTTAAATCGAGATTTTTCAACTTTGGGATTTTTTGTGTCGAAACTATTCATTATCGGTCAAAACGGCTTCCATGTCCCTATCTCAACTTTTGATTGACTATCTACTGACATTTAATTGGAACAGATACAGGGTGATCAGAATTCTGAATTTCGAAGCACCCTGTAATTTTTCCAATAAATTGATCGATAATGAATAGTTTCGACACAAAAAAATTCTTGAACACCCTATATCTCTGTAATCATCTCCGCTAGAACCCAAGTGTGATACATTGATGGAATCAGCTCTTCAGGAAGAATCTAAAAATGCAATAATATACAGGGTGTTCTATTTGAAATAACAAAGTTGCTAGTTGTTCCTGATAAAAGTGGCAACACTGTATCGATGAAAATATTTCAGGCGGATGGGGAATGTTCAATTATCGAAGCATCCCAATTTTCAGAATGTTTTGTCTTTTCGTTCTCCAGATACTTCGAATAGGCCATCCACCGTGGATCACCCTGTATATATTATAGCAAACCAAAAAAGTTCAATCACAAAACTGATTATACCATAGTTTGAGGCTCTAATCCAAGCCTGTTGCCTTTCTGCACATTTAAAAAAAAATCAAAATAGCCTCAAATTATGGTGTACTCAATATCCTCGTCCAATGAGTTTATGCATTCTGTAGTCTTCACCACACGATGTGTATTCTTTATGATTTCTTATATTCCTTCTATTTGAGATTTGATTCTATTAGCTTAATGGTTAAGCTAGCAAAACCCATGACTAATAAAAAACAATGTGCGAAAAAATCGGTAGTAGGCTAGGATAAGAGCTCTCAATTTGTCTTAAATTATGGTATAATTCGTTTCGTGATTGATTTTGGTGCTATTGGTTTTTCATGTTCATGTAGGATGTGAGAACATTTTTGCAAAAAAATTATGAACAAAAATATCGATGAATTAAAAAAAAACAATGCGCGAAAAAACCGGCAACAGGCTAGGGCAAGAGCCTTAAATTAGCCTTAACATATGATATAACCAGTACCGTGATTGATTTTTTTTTTGGTTTATTGATTTGTCATGTTCATATTGGATTTGAGAAAATTTTTGCAAAATTGATGAACGAAAAAATCGATGATAGGCTCAACAAAAAGCTTTAAAATAGTCTTAAATTATGGTGGTCTCAATACTCTTGCATTCCTACTATTTTATATTTGGTTCTGCTAGTTTAATGGTTAAGCTAGCAAATCCTTTGATTCTTTTTTGAAAAACAATGTGCGAAAAAATCGGCAATAGCCTAGGATTGGGGCCTTAAATTAGCCTAAAATTATGGTATGATCAGTGTTGTGATTGAATTTTTATTGACGATGGGGTTCGGCTAGCTAAACGTTAAGCTAGCAGAACCCACGTTTTTTGCATAAATCGAAGAGCAATAAATTCGGCAATTAGGTAATAAATCAGCCTAAAACAATTGAAGAATCCAAAGTGGTTCTGCTAGCTCAATAGGGGTTCAAACATTAATACTACCATTTGACAAAATGATCAATCTTAGTATCAAAGTTTCTTTCAAGTTGAAAACAACATCTTGTATTACTAAGAAAAGTAAACTAGTATGATTTGTTGTTTGAATGTTATGAAATGCTTTATTCTAGGTTTTTGAAGTGTGAAATATCAGATGACATTTGTAGCCTAATATTCTACAAGAAATCGAAAATAAAAAGTATCATTTACTTGAGTCTGGACTTGCACAAAACAGACCAAAAAGAAATCTTCAATGAACTGATTGATAACTTGCAACGTATACAGGTATTATGCAATTCAGGTAATCCTTAGGTAGTTGCATGGTATCCATTTTCCGATAGTTTTGTGTGGTACTCTATAACATTATGTCACATATTTCTGGTAGACTGCCTGAACATCGTTGATGTTTTGAGCTGTTTAGAGAGTGAGAACGTGTTTTTTGTTCGAAAATTCAGAACACCCTGTGTACCAGCAGCAACAGCAAACTATGATTGAATAAAGAGATAATATGCAATTATATTGCATACCTATCATATTTCTATTGACAAATTTTGGTAACAATTTTCCAAAATTGGGTGATTCAGCTGAAATCGAACTCCTATTATTATGGTTGTTGATTTCATTCCAAACTTGTATTTAATCATGATTTATTCTATTTTTTTTGCTTATACTAGCTCCAGTGGAAGAAAAAAAAGTGGCTTCTTCTGTGCTTTTCCTTAGGTTTCCGAAAAGCTTAGAAATATTGATGTAGTAGCCTGCTATTTGACATGATTTTGACAGCTCTTCATCAATTACAAAAAGTATCACATAGTTATAAATTTAATAAATAAGATAATAATAATAAAAATGATGTTCAGTTTCTAAAGTCATTCTTGAAGTCCGCCTATAGTACGCTAATATTTTCAAGCTGTCAAAACATTTGTAGCATAGCCTCCTACTACATTGATAATGCCCCTAATAAATTGAATGAGAATTATGTAGCTAATTCCTAAAATTTGATCATCTAGAAAACTGTACAGATTATTTATGAGAAATTGACTACCTATATAGCTTAAAAAAAGGAGTGTGATGAGGGTATGGTGGATATTGAAATTGATGATCAGTTTTGAGATTAATATCGAGTATAACTCAATTTTGTTGAAAATACGACCTTCAATATTTTTTTTATGAAAATGACGCTAACCTAGCGCATTTATTTCTTTATTTCACAAAAGTTATCCGGAAAAAAATCATTTTAGTGTTGAACTCGCACATGCGCATACATTATTTTTTTTGTTTTCAAGGACTCCAATGATACATTGAAAAAACAGTTGGCTAATGTAAGGAAGACAGTCGCCGAGAGGGAAAAACAGATACAGCAACTGACGTGGCTCAAAAATCAACTGGAGCGCCAATTTTCCAATGTAACTACATATCATCAATGCAATGGGCTACTGGACTGATAGTGGATAATTATCATTCAATTACGCCACTGTGTTTTTAGGGACCAAAATTAATTTTTGCAACACTTCTTATGCGTTTTTGATGTAAATAATGTGTCTATCAGTGTTGAATTGTTGAATTTCAGAGCTCATTACAAATGTGCTGGCATGGCCGCCATTTGGCCATGTTCTGGGATACGTCGAATCCATGATGACGTCAGTTCTTATGCTGCTCATGAAGCAAGGTTGACAAGTCACCAATAATTATAATCAAGTTATTAAACAGTTGTAGAGTCCTCTGTCAATGAATGAAACTACATCCACATTCAATATTTCATTTGGCCTAGTAGGAGGAAGCCATGACATTATAGTTATTCATTTGTGACTTTTTCGAGCAACCAGCTTGTCAAATTACACTTCCCCAAAGAATTAACACACCACCACAAAAGGACCACGCACACATTATATGGGAAAATGTCTTTCGGTGAAAATGGCGGGACTCCATTGGCCCAACTCGATCGTATGACCAGATTTGGCGCTAGAGGGTGAAACATCATGAATTTTGTGTATTTTTGAGTCTTAGAAGCTTAATGAAGAATATGAAAATATCGTGATATAAAGGATGTTGTAGCCTTTTCACAGGGTGGTCAACAATAAACTGATTCTCAGAAAATCCGAATGACGACTTTCGAATTTTACGAGATATTCGCATTGATGGTTTTCAAATTGACAACATATGTATACACACACATTCACACATACACCTAATAACAAAAATCATAACAAAACATTGAATCATCTTGCCACGAAGTGGATTTTCATGCAAGAGGGATCTTTTCTTAGTGAAGCAGAGCCCTTGTATTTTTTGCACGAATATTCGTGAAACTTCTCATTGTATTTCGTCGGAAAGAATTCAGACAATGGCATCAGAAGACATATTCAGGACTATGCCATGATTAAATCACCTAAATGAGTATATTGGCAACTTCTGTTATTCAGATCACTCTGTATCAATGATTATCATTTTCTTTTCTTCGATCAACGTTTATTCTGATCGGTGGCCAATGATGAACTCAATTAATCAGCTTTCTCATATAGGCGATGGCATTCGGATTTTCCGAAAATTAGTTTATTGTTGACCACCCTGTAAAAAGGCTACTAAATTCTTTCTGTAACCTTGAAACATATCTATCTTCAATGAATTTTGGTAGGGTGAATGCATATCACGAGATTTTCATATTCTTCATTAAGCTTGGAAGACTCAAAAATACATAAAATTCATGATGTTTCACCCTCTAGCGCCGAATCTGGTCATACGATCGAGTTGGGCCAATGGAGTCTATTACTTAGAATGACTACAGCTACAACATATCAAAAATCCAGCCATTTTCACCGAAAGACATTTTCCCATATATTGTGTGCGTGGTCCTTTCCAAAAGTTTGAGATACATTTTCGTCAAAACTACTTGTCCTGTACTGTAATATCCACCATTAGGCGATACGTCGAATGAATGGTGACGTCAGCTCATATGGTGTTTCGTTATTGGTCAGATAATCTTCCATTCCCACTCATGAAGCAAGGTTGTCAAGTCATCAATTATAATCAAATTATCAAAAAGATGTTACGAGTCCTGTCGTTGAATAAAACATAATAAGAGGATGCCATGATATTACAGTTCATTCTTGACTTTTTCGAACAACCAGCATGTCCAAATATTTCTTATAGTCCATAACAAAATATCATGTGAATATTGAAGACTTGGCAACATTGTGCTGGCTGAGAAGTGCGGTGTGTTGTCACGTTTACTAGTTCGAATGCCCTCTAGTGTGAATTAACATAATTATTATCTACAGAAATGTATTATAAGCAATAAGCCACAGCACATGAGGAAAAATTTTGAGCTAGTTAGGAATATTACCAATACATAATTGATAATTTACGAATTATTGAATAACTAATATTCCTGAAGTTCCCAGTCGAATTTCAACATATGGCAACTGTGCTATGGTCTGCCCCTACTTGCGAAATCATTATGGGTTTTTGGGTCCCGCTCAAATCGGCTGGAATTTTAGTATGTTGTAGTTTGTGATAACCTGATCAAACCCTCTCATGGGCCCAACTCAATCCTATGACTAGTTTTCGAGCAACAGCGATTCAAATGTTGGATTGTGTGCCTTCAAGGGAGGTAGAACAGACATATTTTTCTAAGTGAATTTGTGCCCTATGAGCCTCAAAAAACGACTTGTTGATAGAATGTCAGCGTTATTATAATGAGTTTGTTGGAAGAATAATTCGATTAACTGAAATATTGATAACAGGGTGACGCCTAATATCTTGACAATTAATTATGTTTTGTAATGATCATGAATTTTCGAATATAAAATGAAACAAAGAGAAGAATATTGAGAATTGCAGTTCATTGAATAAATGAAGAACTCGAATATACAGAGCGGTATTGCACAAACGTATCAGTTATTTGAATTTCATGAATCTCAATCGATCTGACTAAATGATATGCAAAACTTACTAATTCAAGATTAATTTATTGATTATTTTTTCATCCTATACCCTTGCTGATTCAGAATTATACAATAAGGGGCATACATATCACAAAAACATATATACAGTGTCATTCATAAAGTCGGCATCATATGGGAAAAACTTTTATTAATGACTTATTTTGAAATTCGAGTTGGACGTAAAGTTTTGCTTCAAAAAGATGAAAAATGGCCTACTCAATCGGGGTCACGTGACTTCCGCTACATGTCAAAAGTGACATTTTTTCAAATTAATCGCTGAAAGTAGGCTTATTTGTTCGAATATCGAAAAAGTTTACTTGAAAAAGATGGTTCCATCTAAATTTTACATATGTGACTCGGATTCTATCTTTCTATTACATTTTTTTGATTTCGATATTTTTTAAAAATTTTCGAAATTTCTGTAATATTAAAAAAATTGTAAATTCGATAAAACTACTTGATACCAGTAGCTTCATCATGCTACTTACTTTCGATTATTAATTATCACTAATGATCGACAAAAATATGATTTTCTTCAGAAAATGATAATCTCCGCTTCAAAATTCAGTTTGTTTGATATTGAGTTTCATCAAATTGAAGTATAACGCTTACGTCTCTGCGCGATACCGCCCTGTATACTCGATTTCTTCATTTATTCAATGAACCTCAATTCTTAACATGAATGGTGTGTTTTTCCTATTTGATTTACGAAAATTCATGATTATTACAAAACATAATTAACTGGCAAGATATTAGACATCACCCTGTTATCAATATTTCAGATGATCGAATCATTCTTCAAAAATATTCATTATTAAGGTTGAAATTCTATCAACAAGTCGTTTTTTGAAGCTCATAGGGCACAAATTCACTTAGAAAAATATGTCTACCACCCTTAGGCACACAATCCAACATTTGAATTGCTGTTGCTTGAAAACTAGTCATAGGATTGAGTTGGGCCCATGAGAGCTTTTGATCAGGATATCACAAACTACAACATACTAAAATTCCAGCCGATTTGACCAGGACCCAAAAACCCAGAAGAGCGGTGCGGGGTTCTTTCTAGCCGTTTGAAAATTACTGTGCCATATCGATGATTTTAGCACCTTGAATTCGATCGAAACATTTTAAAAAATATGGAATTGAAAAGTATTTGAGTGATGGTTCCATTTAGGAAATAAAAAAAATAGTCCACTCGCCTATCACCGTGGCATTATTGATAATTTCAGCACCTCAAAATCGGCCGAAAAAAAATCACAAAACATGGAATTGAAAAGTAATTGAGTGATGATTCTATTTAAAAAATTAGTCCACTTGGCTATTGTCTGATATAACCGAGGCCATTATAAATCTGATGATTTCAGGAACTCAAGAAGGTCGAAGATTTTTTCATCGCTAAAAGTAGGGACTTGGAGGAATTGGCGCAAAATAGAATCCGATTGACACAGCAACGAATCGTTAAACTAGTGGAAGACGTGAACAGTGTTAAATCGCAAACAGTTTTGAAATTTGCCTCTAATGTCAGATTGTCCAATACAATTGAAAGTCTCAGGTTTGAAGCGACGGAAAATGCCAAATTGATGAATCAATTGAAGAAGGAAAATTGCGTCCTGCAATCCGTGAACGCCAATCATGAAAAAAATATCGCTGATTTGAGGCATATTTTGAATGAGAGAGATACAGCAGTCAAGGGACTTTCCAAAAGAAATGTGAGTTTCAATTGTGCATTTTTTGAATTGAGTCGGCCGTTACTTGATGGAAATCTATGGTAAATGTAGAAAACTTCACAAACGATATGGGGTGCGTTTTGTTGTGCCATTCCGGAAGTGATAAAATGAGTGGGCCTAAGAAAACGGATCGGCGCCAGGCACTGCCCCGCCTAGCCCCTAGGTAGCTACGCCACTGATAATGTAGATATTGTGCCTATTTTCTGAAAATGAAGGAATATCGATTCTTCCACAGGTAATTCTGATCCTTCATGGGAGAGTAGAATATGAAACTTAGGCAAGCCAATGTAAGTTTAGTTTATTGTACCAGTATTTCACCTGAAGAACCTACTGTTTTTGTGGAAATCTCATCGTTCGTGAAGTTTTTTACATTCAAATTGTGCAATTCAATTGTGAGTACAGGCGTTACCACCGATACAACAAGGCCAGCAGACTCTGACGTAAACAGCTCGTGACGTCACCAAGAGAGGCCAGTGTTTTATTTTATCGCTTGTCGACTAACGCGTCAGTTCGTGTTAATTCATCGGTGATTCACGTATGTTTTTGAAACGGTCCCGAATTCTTTTGTTGTTTATTCATCGAAATAATTGGCGGAAAAATTACTGTTTTGTGAAATATTTTGTGTTGTGATCGGCGAAATAACAATGCCTTTCAAGTGTTGTGTTCCCTTTTGTCGGGGGAATTATGTGGGTGGTTCAAAAGTTCATGCTTTTAGTTTCCCGTTGAACGAGGAGCTATCGAAAATGTGGGTATATGCAATTCACCGCGAGGATTTCACTCCATCTAAGTTCAGTAGTAAACAGAGCTTAATTTATAATGATGAATTAATAATAGAAGACAATTACTCTCTCATAAAAAGTATAAGTAGAGGAAAAATAGAAAAGCTTTGATTGTGCAGTTTTCGTATATTATAGTCAACAAAATCATCTCTGAATTCGAGGAAATTCCTTTCTGAAAACGGTCATTTGCCTCGTGGAAATGAATGCAGAATTCATTCCAATGATCAAATTACAACTATCATATTAACATGAACTACAAACACTCTACTAAAGGTAAAACTGCATTTATCATGATATTTATCATGAAGATATTTGACTAAAAAGTTCCAAACTTCACCTTCATTTTCACCTGTCTTCTGGATGGCATTTAGAACAAATTTCCCTTCTTTTTTCATCATATTGAACAATTTATATATAATTCAACTATAAATATGATTTTCTTGAGATTAATCCATATTTAGTGAAAAGAAGGAAGAATATCATTCAAAATAATGGCGTGTGTAATGTCATTCGAAAGCAATCTATTGACATTTGACATCTCGTATTTTGATTGACTATTGATTAAATGGTCGTCATCTGGAATGCTTGTTCACTAAATATGAAAAACTCGCCATAAAAATCATATTTCCTGTTGAATTTTCTATATAAAAATGTGCCATCGAAGTACATCATGAGTATATAAAGTGTCCAATGATAAAATAAGAGCAAGTAGCTTCAAATGCCCCCAACACAAGGGGAGAAAGAAGGCGAAATTTCGAACTTTTTCTTGAAATATCTCAATAAATAGTGGTTTGTTCACATTTTCATTATAAAATTCGGTTTATCAGACAAAAATACGTGAGTACCGAAAAAAATTTTCAAAAAAACCCATCGCATGATAAATGCAGTTTTACCCTTAAAAATTACGGTTTCAAGTGTAACGATCCACTTGGGTGAAAAATCCAACAACAGAAAATTGAAAACACTCACTGGTTATTTTTTCAGGTAATAGGAATTTTCCAAGATTAATATAGGTAATTGTAACAAACGGCATGTCAATCAAAATAAAATACATTTTCCACAAATTTCTTTCGAACAATCTCACGATAAGTTTATGTTCTGCGGGCCCTGTATAAGTAGGTGTGAAGTTTACCTTCATCACAATTTTTGCCAATATATTTAATTCGAATGGGTTGCTGTAGGTGGATATTTGTGTTTTATCCTGGTTTTTGCTTTAAAACTTCGTTTTTCCATAATAAAATCGAATGGGGTACGAAGAAGGGCTCAGTTGACGACTGTCATCCTTTTTTAATCGGAAGCCCTTCAAAAAACAGCAAAATCGGCTCAATGATGATCTAAAACTAAAATCGAAATACGCGGTCGCCTTATAGCGCTATAAGCGCTTGTCGTTTCGAGCCGCTGGTTAGGCCTCACTAAGTGACGTCAGCCACGGAACATGCAGGCCTTGTTGTATCGGTGGTAACGGTACAGGCTGTCTCATTTTCGATGTCCTTATGGGATATCTCACTTATTTTCTGAGATAGAGATTTGAGGTTTTCGCGAACGTTGGCTACTTTTTTGTCAAACTAACCGTTTCTGGATTTTAAGTGAAAACATTCAAAAAATTCAGTTTTTACTTTTTCGCTGAGTATAAAATTTACTGAGATACAGGGGGGTACCAAAATCTAACATTTTCAATTTCGCCCTGTATCTCGAAAACGAGGCGAGTTATGACAATCATGTTTTTATTATACTTCTTTGTAATCACCTTATTTTCGAAACGAATCATACATGCCAAACAGTGTATTGTCAGCATTATTTATTCCCTGTCAATCAAATTTATGCCGACAAAATGAACTCAGAAGAAAATCCCGAAATTCCTGATAATATCCTACCTAGAGCAAGCGGCACAATCGACCGCGAACTCATTACCACTAAAAAGCAGGTCTAGTAGTTCCAAGTTTTTTTTATTCTTACAACTGTGAAAATAAAAATGTTCCAAGTTTCTTTTGTGTGTTTTTTAACTAATAACTCATTATTATATTTTCATTTTCAAATACGTGTAATAAAAAATATTGTTCATTACACGTCTAGAAATGATTTTTCCAGACTCCTAATGAAATATACTATTGCGGTATTGTGAGTTTCATGAAAAAGTAGCAAACATCGAAAATGGGACAACCTGTACGTTGTCAAGATTTTTTTCAGGAGGAACTACGGATGGATAATGAAAAAGCTACGAAAGTTATTGCACAAAACAAGGCCAACATTGAAGAACTGTCAAAGGATTTAGTACAAGCCAATCAAATGCTCGTTAATTTCAATAGTCATTATGACTCTAAAATCAAACAGGTAAGTCACAAATATCTTGGAACAAATTGTCTCTTCAACGCTGAATAGTCAAACCTTGAAATCACTGAATATTTTAACTTATTTACCTATTCAAATATAATGTTTCATTACAAATTTTCAATTTTTTTCGAAGATTTAGGTCTAATCAGATGATTCGGTAATACTACGTGATTCATATAATCTTCTCTCCATAGAACGAATTGAATCAACCCTAATAATACTATTTTCGGCGGCGCAAGAGACAAAAAAATGATAATAGACTGGCCGATATTTAAACCGAAGATTATTTAAGCGATAAGGAATGTTGAATAATTTCTTTTGATTTTGTTTGAATGAAACTCATCCTATTGAAAATATACATCACAGGGTCGATATCGGCTTCGTCAGTATTTTCACAACAATACCTTTCTGATATTGTCAAAACTATTTTCGTTTCGTGTATCTCCAGTATCTTTCAGAAAGTTGGCATCATATGGGGAAAACTTTTAAAAGTTACATTTATAAAACGCTGAAAAATAGCCTTATTTGTTTGAATTTCAACAATGTTTACGAAGAAAAGTTGTTACTATTCCAGATTATTTACACATGTGTTTCAAATTTCTTCTACAACTTTTAGTTCATTATATTTTTTTAAATTCAATGAAGTTTCTGTAATATTCAAAAATTGTAACTTCGAGAAAACTGTCCTAAACTTCGGTTAGATATTTTAAGTAATTCGATGATGTTTTGATTAATGACTCGTATCATTTTAGTACTTTTCATCAAACATAAGAGAAATTTGAAGCAGGATATTTATTTTCTAAAGGAAATTATATTTTTGTCGCTAATTAGTATTTTAAAGTGAGCGACATGACAAAAGTTTTTTCAAAGTAAACTTGACATTGTGATGAGGATTTTGTTGCATGTAAATTAGTGAGGGTTGCTGTTCTGTGCGCACGTGAATACATACCAAAGAAGGGAAGATTTGTTTTTCGTGCAAGATAATTTATTCAATATTCGTAGCAGAGCGCTTTCGACTGTTAAGTCATCATCATTGATAAGTTCAAGTTCCCTTCAACACGACATGTCGCAGCGACAATGGCTGCTTAACAAAATGTAATCCATATCTTACCCCCTTTTGGAAAACACTTTTTAATTTGTTTGTAACGTATTTTATCTGATGGCATGTCATAATGACAACGTTATGTCACTCAATTTTGATGACATAAGGAAGCTCATTATGGTACTAAGTACCATAATGAAATTCTATAAGGAAAACATGTAATGGTTTGATCAAAAAAGTTTATTCAGAATGCATAACTATGTACAAAACTATTTATTATAAATGGTAAAAGAACAATTACTACAATTTGTAATATTAATATAATGGCAAAGCACAGCTCACTCACCTACTAATATTTGAAACTACACAATACTTACTCCTTTAAAAATAGTTGTCATTGTGACATGTCGAAAATGCAGTTTTTAATTTTTCGAAAATGTATTGATATAAATGCCATCAGATAAAATTTTGTATGTAATACGAATCATAAACAATCATTATGGCACACGCCGTGTTATCGGACTCGGCTACGCCTCGCCCGATAACATTCACGACTTGTACCATAATGATCGTCTTTATGATCCTTATTACATAAATAACTATTACCTTAATGTCGTTAGTTTTAAACTGGACCAAACATATTTTTATGGATGAATTTCCCTGTAAACCTGACGAGTACGCACTGATGATGACTTAACAGTCGAAAGCGCTCTGCTACGAATATTGAATAAATTATCTTGCACGAAATACAAATCTTTCCTTCTTTGCCATGTAAATTGAACAAAAAAGTTGCCTTCTAAAAAATTACTCGTCCTAAATTACTCGTCCTATAGACTCGTAATTTTTTCTGGTAGTTTTTTTGAGTTGAATTTCCTAAAGGCAACAAAACTCGAATCATAAATTTCAAGTTTACTTCGACAGTGTAATTCGGTAACAAATTCAATGAATACGTAATTCACACTATTGTTGATGGTTCTAATTTTATTCACTCGCAGACTCTCCAATTCGCGACATTCCACAGATTAATTGAGGCACCGAGATGCCAAGGAAGGTAAGTGACATTTCTAAAGATTTTGAAGATAACTGCAGAGTCGGGTAGTTGAAGTATGGGAAAAGTTTGTGTCGAAGAGATATCAGTGAAAGGTTCTGATATCTGTTGGCAAATAGTTTGACTATGCAAATAATATGTAATTTGTTTGAAAGCGAATGAAGGTAGTAATGTAGCTATTCGGAGGCCAAGTGTGCACTTAACGCCAGTGGTCTCCATCCTGTTCATATTTTTCTTTAACTTTTCGTTTAAATGGCAAAGAGGGTAAGTACAGTTCCTCATCAGAGATTCACTAATAAGTAGGGTACTAACAGAGGTAATGCCCATAATTATTACCCAGGATGTATCATGAGCTTCAAACTTTAAACTTCATTTATCAAACATTGGATTCATGTCACTTATTACCTCCCTTGGCTTCTCTATGCCTCAATTAGATACTTTTCTGATAACGCAAGATTGAGAAAGATATACATACACGCCATCAATATTCGTTCATAATTCTGTTTGTCATGGTTTCAAATGTTAGGTTTCGTTTTGTCGCTGGAAAACTCAGGGCAAAGTTTTGTCTCTGTCATAGTAACAAAATCAAAGCGGCTTCTTCGGATTTTTTGGGATTTTTCATACGTGAATCAGATTGTCATTACAAAAATTTCGTTGAAATTACAAACATATCAAATCATAAAAATTCCGATAAAACGTTCAAAGGACCCCGCACTTTTTCTATATAAAAATGGCGTTCCGTCGAATTTCCCCAATTTTTGGTAAATGATAGTACTCGACATACTGATTGAATATGCCAAGTCCCAACTCAATCCTATGACTAGTTTACGAGATACAGGGTGTTGAAGTTGAAGAATACCTAATTTTTCTCGGCCTATATCTCTAAGATAGGACAAATGAATTCCAATTTTTCGGGAGCACGTAATAGTTATGCCCTTAGGCGCAAGAACTATATAGGTATTCGACCAAAACTGATTTTTATTACAGGGTGATTCTCATTTCAAATAATGTGTTTTTTTGAATATCTGAATATCAATGCTACAAATTGATAACAATTACAAAATGAGATTTATAGCCAAGTATGCTCTTCTTACATCAATTGAATTCGTAAAATATAATAATTATACATGGTGTTTCATTAATGCTGTTGATTGCATAATTGGTCTATCCTAAAGTTCATTGGGCCACCTCGTATTATCGGGTTGATTCCAGACATTCAAAATATTTTTGAAGGATGTATCCCAATGAGTTCCATGATATACAGAGTGATTCATCGATTTTAAAAATTGACAACCACGAAAAAATATTCAAAAACCACTATTTTTTTCCACCAATATACTCAGTATGGATATTTCAATCAAATTGGGAATTTTCAGACCCATGCTATGACTAGTTTTTTTTATACATCGAATAATGTGAAAATAATTATGGAAAAGTAATTACATAATAACACGAAAAATTGCTCCGAATCGCAAAACTAGTAGTCACTAGTCAACTATGTCAAAAAATGTGATTTGTTCGTAAACAAAATCTAGTGGTCTTATTATAGGTCCGCTAGCAAAACATCTCGAAAATGTTTTTCAGAAAACATCAAACAAATCACAATATGCCCCCGAAAAAATCTCATCAACGACACAACTCATCAACGATCCCACTCATATAAACGTGCTAAAACTCATGAGCGTTCCAAGTCGACAGCGGTTTTTCCCAACTCAATCCTATGACTATACTTTTCGAAAAAAATATGAAACTAAACTTCCGCAAACGCCTAGTGAGAGGTGCGCGTTAATATATTTTGCAACTCTCCTTTATCCAACCAACTTCCAATCTTTTGATCATACTGTATATTGTTAGAATCGAAGTTAGTATATGCACATCGGAAAGACACTAAAGTTGGAGTTTTGGTTATGTAGATATTCGTTACCGGGTTCAGTATAGACTTGAAAGAAAAATGGAATACAGGAACATCAGTAGGTACCGAGGAATCATCATTTATCCAACACATCAAAAATATAGTAAAATAATAATGAAACAATCTCGAAGCCTCTTTCTTCCACTCAATATCAATTCAGAATTGCAATCATAGATTTTGAAAAAATACATGAACCAACTCGTTTTCCAACAACATCTATTTGTTGGAAGAAATAGTGGCATTAGGTAATGTATATCGTAAGATATACATACCGTAATAGATCGATAGACATCCTCAAATAACTATAAAATTATATTTTAGGGTAAGTTCTAGTCCCAATTCAAGTTGACAACTGATATTTTCGGAATCGGCGGGGTCGAATTAGTCTAGAAACTTGGGTTGTCACGAATTAATAAGTATGTTTTACTTCGTAGAAGTCGAATTTGGATTATCGCAACCAGATAGAATATTTTTCAGTAGGCTTAGAAAACAAAATCATGATATCAATAAATGTGTCTGTCATCCAGCAACTTTCGGGTTGTCAGTATCTTAAAATATCATATCAGCGTATATCTTTATTCTGAGTGTTTTTTAAGTCGTTTTCAGTAATTGTTTAGTGAATTTAGTGCGCATTATGGCATTTGCAAATAGGGTAAGATGTTATGTATGCGAAGGGAATTTCATTCCTAGACTCACAATTCGTATAAATCGTGAAGATAATGTTGATTTTCTGCAAATTGCAACATTTAGAAGACAAGCTGCTGGAAATCCTCCAATTGACATTTTTGATGATACCAGAGTTTGTTTCAATTGTCATAACAGTGTAATAATTGATATCAATGAGATGGAAAATAACCCAAACTGTCTTCGCCTAAATGTATTGAGTCCAGTAATGAGCCGTGCCTGCATAATCTGTAATGCTCGTCAACATGTTCAGAGAATAACTCTTGCATGTAGGGTGAACATTTTTGTTGTAACGAATATTTATGTTCCGGACTTTCTGAGAATTTGTGGTCATCATCTTGACCCTCATGGATTTCTCTTGAATAATTTGCATGGAGGTTTGAATTTTATCAACAAACCCTATTTGATATCAAATATGCTTCAATTTCTACAGTGTATGAGAACAGTTGCCAATGAAAATAGACGTATTAGAAACTGGGATGATATTGATAGTTTTACAGAAGAAGAGTTCAAAGCTCTGACGTCGATTTCGAAAGAAGATTTTCAAGAACTTTATGGATTTTGTGATACAATCGAGCAAGGGGGAAATAGAAGGCATATCAAAAAGAAACATTTACTGACATTTCTAATCAAAATGAAACATGGAGTTTCAGATGAGTTTTTGAAAATCTTGTTCCATTTTTCTTCAAGACAAACAACTAGCTTGATAATATCGAATGTGAGGATATCTCTAATGCAAAGATTTGTAACTAATAATATTGGTTTCGACTCTATTACAAGAGACGATTATATTAATAGACACGTGTCTGTATACACCAATCAGCTATACAACCCTTCTCCCAATATCCCAAAAGCAATTGTGTATATAGACTGTACATATAACAAAATAGAAAAAAGTAGTAATTTCCGGATATTGAGACAATCCTACTGCTTCCATAAAAATGAGCACCTGGTTAAGCCTGAAATTATGGTCGCTCCTGATGGCTACATCTTGGCAATTAATGGTCCATACTTTTCTGATGCTAGAAATAATGATGCCACCATTCTGCAGCATGAGCTACAGAATGATATAAATAGAATGAGGACATGGTTTCAAGAAGGCGATGTAGTGATAGTCGATAGGGGTTATAGGGACTCTATTGGTCTTTTACAGGATCTTGGTCTCCATTACCATATGCCACCATTTCTACCACCAAACCAAAGACAACTCACAACAATCGAAACTAATAGGGCACGCTTAATTACTAGCACCAGATGGATTGTAGAGGCTAGAAATGGGCATTTCAAATCGATTTTCAAATTTTTCCGAGGAGCGATATCAATAACACATGTTGCAAAATTACGCGAATTCTATTTGATTGCTGGCGCCCTAATAAACAAATACCATCCTCCAATAAGGATGCCGGGCACATTGGAATTAGCTACACAAATGTTGCATGATATCGAAGAAGTCAACATTGTTCAGGCCCGAGTTGAGGCTGAAAACCTCCGTACAAGAAATGGTCGATGGTTTCGTTTGAACCATAGACATGTACCGACGTTTCCTCGACTTGACTTAGAATATTTGAAAACACTCACAGGGTCATATCACATTCACTTAGCTGCCTCCTACATACAAGACACGATACAAAGAGATGGAGGGGAACAAAATACACTCGATATTGACGAACTCATTGAGGAACCCAATTTTTTAAGATTTCGAGTATTTTCTCGGTTCAGAAATGCCACTAAACATATGCTGTGGTTAGTATTCAGAGAAATCGATGATAATAATTTACAAGATCCGCCCATTTTAGGGTACTACTGTACTTGTAGGTCCGGTGCTAGAACATTAGGGACGTGTGCACACGTAGCCAGTGTGGTATGGTTCCTTGGATACGCAAGAAACCAAGGAAATATTACCTTTCCATCTGATCGCCTTTTGAATTGTATCGACGATGCTGCAAATCGATTGAATCCTGAAAATATGAACATCGGTCCGGAACTGATTTGAATCTGGCGATTAGTTGATTTCTGTGTTCCTTGTGAAACATAATTATAGTAGTAGTAGTAGTATATGTCCTTCGTTGGTAGGTATGTACATACCAACCAACCATCGATCCCTAATGAGGTCCTTTAGCCCATAGTGTTCTGAACATGTATCTATATTGTATGTAGGCACGCAACAGTGAATCGTGCAGGACTATCCCCAGCCGATGCTCCGAAACTTCACAATATTTAATTCGTATATTAATATTCGAAAAATTCCTTGCGCTGTCTGGGAATCGAACCCACGACCCCGCAGTCCTGACTCGGGTGCTCGTCCACTGCGCCAATCCTGCCTACACACAATCATATTATAGGTATTGGAACTTTCACTTTCTAACGTGGACTAGGCCTACAGGGGATACCACAATAAAAAAAACGCGCCTGAAACTCTACCTCTCAGGTGGTGGGGAAACGAGTTGGTTTGTCTATTTTTTCAAAATCTGTGATTGAAATTCTTAATTGACATTTTTCTTTCAGGCCTATACTGAACCCGGTAACGAATATCTACATAACCAAAACTCCAACTTTAGTGTCTTTGCGATGTGCATATACTAACTTCGATTCTAACAATATACAGTATGGTCAAAAGATTGGAAGTTGGTTGGATATAGGAGAGTTGCAAAATATATTAACGCGCACCTCTTACTAGGCGTTTGCGGAAGTTTAGTTTCATACTTTTTTCGAAAAGTAGTCATAGGATTGAGTTGGGAAAAACCGCTGTCGACTTCGAACGCTCATGAGTTTTAGCACGTTTATGAGTGGGATCGTTGATGAGTTGAAAGTTGATGAAAGGGGTGCGTAGAATAGTTGTGTCGTTGATGAGATTTTTTCGGGGGCATATTGTGATTTGTTTGATGTTTTCTGAAAAACATTTTCGAGATGTTTTGCTAGCGGACCTATAATAAGACCACTAGATTTTGTTTACGAACAAATCACATTTTTTGACATAGTTGACTAGTGACTACTAGTTTTGCGATTCGGAGCAATTTTTCGTGTTATTATGTAATTACTTTTCCATAATTATTTTCACATTATTCGATGTATAAAAAAAACTAGTCATAGCATGGGTCTGAAAATTCCCAATTTGATTGAAATATCCATACTGAGTATATTGGTGGAAAAAAATCTTACATCGACGGTAATAATTTCGAATTAGAGGGTGATGAAAAAAATAGTGGTTTTTGAATATTTTTTCGTGGTTGTCAATTTTTTCAATCGATGAATCACTCTGTATATCATGGAACTCATTGGGATACATCCTTCAAAAATATTTTGAATGTCTGGAATCAACCCGATAATACGAGGTGGCCCAATGAACTTTAGGATAGACCAATTATGCAATCAACAGCATTAATGAAACACCATGTATAATTATTATATTTTACGAATTCAATTGATGTAAGAAGAGCATACTTGGCTATAAATCTCATTTTGTAATTGTTATCAATTTGTAGCATTGATATTCAGATATTCAAAAAAACACATTATTTGAAATGAGAATCACCCTGTAATAAAAATCAGTTTTGGTCGAATACCTATATAGTTCTTGCGCCTAAGGGCATAACTATTACGTGCTCCCGAAAAATTGGAATTCATTTGTCCTATCTTAGAGATATAGGCCGAGAAAAATTAGGTATTCTTCAACTTCAACACCCTGTATCTCGTAAACTAGTCATAGGATTGAGTTGGGACTTGGCATATTCAATCAGTATGTCGAGTACTATCATTCACCAAAAATTGGGGAAATTCGACGGAACGCCATTTTTATATAGAAAAAGTGCGGGGTCCTTTTAGATACGTGTGTAAAATCGGAATAAAAAACTTTTCTTCGTAAACGTTAATTTGATGAAACGTAACTTTTGACCTCGACCGAGTAGGCCATTTTTCATCTTCTAAAAATTAATTAATACTTATTGAAAGTTTTTCCTATATGATCCCAACTTTCTGAAATACACTGTCTATAACGGGTCGAGAGATTAAAGAAAATAACCAATTTGAAAATTTTCGTATGTTGACATCAATCACGTCCTATTTGCTGGACATTTTTGTATCGCACTGTATGAATTTGAACTAGGTGGAACAGCTGAACGAAGCATTACGCTCGAAAGAGGAAATCCTCAATGGCCAAAAACTCAAGCATCATAAAGTTGTTCAGGACTTCGATAACTATAAGGCCTTATACAATAAGGAGATACAGGAGAAACTCAAACACGAACTGTTTCTTTCTAATAGTAAAATTGAGGAGCTCGAAAAAGCAATAAGAAAAGCAAATAAAAGTGAGTACGATAGTAACTTCCACTAACTCAAATAAAAAATTAGAGATAAATTGGTTCTGATCATATTTGATGAAGTAGATTTCAACAGTTATTAACGTTACAAGGCCGATATGTAGCAAATAACGGATGAGGTTGAATATTGTTATCCGAGGCGCAGCCGAGGATTATAACAACCGAATCCGTTACTTGCGTATCTGCCGTGTGTCGTTCAAGACTTCTCGTAATCTCGCTGAAAGATCACATTTTGATTCCAAGGAAAGAACAAATCACGTACCTCGTAATTCTACAGAAAAAAAAAACCAACACCGTGTTGTTATATAACAGTTGACGACCACCGGCCGTTAAACAATCTTAACGGACGGAGGCTGTTGAATGGGGGAGGCCACTGATTTTTTAAAATGACATTATCGTGAACTCTATACTGAAAAACTACCAGCGAATTAATTTTGAATTTCGTCATTCATGCTAAGACGATGAAAATAATGAATTAGAATATGTCCATTTCAAAACACACAATTCCTGCGCCATTTGAAATGTTGTCAATTCATTGGTGTGACTGGTGCGACGTCTTATTCCCAACACGCCTATTGTCCTTGAACTGACCAATCACACTGCAACAGTACAGAATGACGAGGTATCAGAGAGAGATAGCCACAGTTCGGGACTAATACGTCACGACTCCACCATCATATTTGGCTGTTTGAAATATCGAATGAAATATGCTGATTTCAAAATGATATAGATTCGATTCCCTTCAACTTTAACTCATTATATTGATTGTACATCAAACGTAAATCATGATTCGTCGATTGAAAGAGGTTTGCACGGATTTCTTCTCTCAGTGGTCTTCCCCATTGTCATCTGAATACCGTTAAATCGAAATAACACTATGGGATTACGAAATTGAATTAACACATACTTATGTTGCAGTGAATACTCTGCTGACTGAAAAGGTCAATAATATGACCCTAAATTCCAAAGGAACGTGAAGAAATCGATGTGGATTTTAGCTTGATAACTCATTTTTTTATAGAATCTTACTTTTATTTCGATATTGGAGATATTTATAAATATTTTAAGTTTTTACAAGCTTTCATTTAACTTTGCTTCCTGACTGTCTGTTTGTCACATACAAATCTGGCGATCGATTTTTCGACCACTTCCCGATATCCAACAGAAGTTCTATTCGCAAAATATATTCAATATGGCGGCCGTCACAAAATGGCGGATCCCATATTTTTCTTCACAGCATTCATTATGTTAATCTCATATATTGAAAATAATACGAATGAAAAAACATTGACACATTAACTAAAAATGGGAAAATATTTTGTTCTCCAAACAGCATAGAAAGTGGCTTTTATATGACAGTTAACAGGCATCAATGGTGTGGTTTCTCTGCCAAGCAATTGAAAACAGAAAAAGTGTGTTGCTATGCAAAGTTCCAAGTAATTTGAATGTAATTGGTAATCAAAATTGACACTGACATTCGGTGAACACAAAATAATGATGGAGTTTTCAATGAAAAAAATTACACAAAATCGCGATAGACAATGGACTGACCAATAATCACAAACAAACAAAAAAAAAGTGAACCAATGAAAACCCGATTATCAGACCGCTTTGACAGCTTTCAAAAACACCGATAGGTAGCGTAAGCTTATTTTCTAACGCGTATAACTTCTTCAAAAAAAATTATACAGGGTGTTTCGTAATATGTGGGACGCTTTGTGAAAGGTGATGGGGCGTCTCAAGAAAATAAAAAAGTTCCCATAAATCAAAAGTCGTAGACGGCTTCGTTTGCGAGATACAGGGTGTTAAAGTTGAAAATAAAAAATAATTTTCAATGAATTTCTAGATAACCGCTAAACGAAAATTCTTGATATTCTGGTGCATAACTGAGTACCTGAGAATGATTGAATGGGTGGCATTATTTAGTCAATCTGACTCCCAGTGGCACCGTTAGGGAATATCAATGTGTGATTTTTTATAAAAAATTATTGGCGATGAAACTTTTCGAAATTTCATTCGAAAATATGAAAGGGGATGCAGAAATAAGCACCAAGTGTTGAAACTCGTAAAGATACAATGTCTTCTAGAAAAACCGAATAACCAAATACAACTCTTAAATTGGATGTAAATGTCCGAGGATGTCGGATAGTCCATTGAAGACATCTGCTCAGATTACTCAAGAACCATGATAGATATCATTCTGTAATTGTGGCACTATGCCAGTTGTCACATAACATATACATATAATATCTATATTCTTGGAAATATTTGTGGGATGCAGTCTGGACCAATGAATTAATTAAATTTCTCCGTTATTTGTCGAGCTTTCGAAAAATTTTATTTTCTTTATCAAGACTAAAAACATGAAATTCCATATAAAATTAGCACAAAAAGGAAACATAGGTGTATATAGAATTTCATGTTTTTAGTGTTGATAAAGAAAATAAAAATTTTCGAAAGCTCGACAAATAACGATGAAATTTAATTAATTCATTGGTCCAGACTGCATCCCACAAATATTTCCAAGAATATTATTATAGAACAGTCACGAAAGCTTCCCCTTGTTATAATATCTATAAATATTTTCAACTTCAACACTCTGTATCTCGCAATTGAAGCATTCTACGACTTTTGTTCATGGAAACTTTTTTATTTTCTTGAGGTTGACTGTCTTGGCTGAACTATCAGCAGCGGTTGTCAATGTACTACTTTGCTGCCTAGTAAAACAAATAACTATTTTCTCTGACCCATGTGTATGTAACTATTAGTAGGAGCAGTGAAAGCTTAGTGTGGATGCAGCATCAATTATCAATGGGCTTATATATCACCAAAAAAAAAATGATTTCATAATTCCATAGAACTCACCCAAACTAGCTCACCACCGCAAACCGTTTCTTGCTGTGAGCTCCCTACGTTTTGTAAAAAAATATTGAAATCCCCGATTTTTCGGACCTCTGAAAACGAGGCGATGACGTGACGTCAAAACTCTAATACTGAAACATGACTATTCCAGACAGAGTTGAATGATACATGATTTCTGACAGAGTAAATAAGCGCGAGATCACAGTTGAAAGAAATAATATATCAGTTGCCTCAGTCTCCGTCGGGTGTTTGGTATTTTCTTTTAACTATGGCGAGATGAGGTTTCTACGTCATACGAGGGTCCGTTTTCAGAAGGTACTATTATTTATGTCCAAAAATAAAACATACCAGTTAATTTTTCGATCGAATTATGTCGTCAATCATTATTTATGTATAAAAGGATCATTATAAACATGGTTTGAGTTTAAAGTTCTACTAAGGTGTACACGCCCATTATCAAGTAACAATCAACAATTTACAATTATCAATTATGAGTTGAACTTCCTATTTTCAATCACTGTGTTTATGCAGACAATTAACAATTATCATTTATCAAATAACAAGTAGAAGGTTTGTCAACTTATAACTTTTTACATTAATTGAACCAGGTTTTCTTGTAGATGACCGAGGATTGGTCCATCCTATGATGGAGAGTAACCTCAAAACATTGTCTTGGCCCCACTTGTGATAGCAATATCCCAGAAATGTGTCTAATATATTATGAAAAAAAAATTCTATGGATATCTTGTATGGCTTGGAATGAACTTTTGCGCCTGCGTATTTTCAATTTTAAATTGTTAACTTGGTTAGCATAAATGGTAACATTTTAGCTACTCCTTACTTGATAATTGTTACTTGATAATTGTAAATTGATGCTGCATAAATCCACACTTAGGCGCTAAGTTATATTTATGTGATCATTTCTTGAAAATTTGCTCTTACTTTTTTTGATCTTACTGGCCAGAGAAAAGCGATTTTCTACTCTATTCTTTTATCTTAACCAGAGATTTCCTTTGGAAAGAACTGAATTTCGACGCCCTATAGCTAAATGATAGATTATAATATTATGTATGATATTCATGAAAAGATATCAAGTTCTGTTGATTCCTCCAGTATTAGTAATTAAAAGAATAACTCAATGAAACACGAAACATTTTTGCAAACAATTTATTCAAGTTAGTGCTTCAACAGTATTTCCATAAATATAAAGCTCATATCGAAGTTGGTAGTAAAATTCTGACTGGTGCTCGATTCGTCTAGGCGGAGACCATTTTGTATAAATTTCTATTTGTATAATTTACTAGAAGCTTCATCTTTTGAGGTAGAAGACAAAAACTACTAAAAATTGAAAAATAATACAAAAAGCTAATTAAATGAGCATTAAAACATTCAAAATATCAACAATCTTTCATGATTTCTATCAATATTTTCCTCTATTACGCAAGATGAATTCGCAAAAGTCCCACAATTTTTACACAAATGGTCCTGGTTAGTGGATTAAACTGTTAAATGAAAAAAAAAACATTTTGATTTTTGTATAACTAAACGGGAGACAACGGCTGATTTATATATGAAAGTATTACTCAAACATTTTATCAGCAACGAAACAACCCGCCATTCTACGATGAATATCCAAGAAAACATGGTCATATAAAAAATGCGGTGTCTTGAAGACTTGCGAATTTTATCTTGCTGTATAGTGTATAATCTATCCAAATTCTCGATGATCAAGCTCCTTTTTTACCTTGCAAATGTTACGATTAGACCCCGATATACAGGGTGTCTCTAGAAGTCCGTCACAAAAACTCACCAAATATTCATCAGATCAAAACAATTCGATACAAGAAAACTTACCTTAGTGCAAAGTTGCTTAGTTTGGGCGCTAGACGGCTCTGAAGTTACAATTTCCAAATTGTGTTTGTTTCACAACTTTGAAATGGCTCACGATAATTTACTCAAATTTGGTACGTCGGCATAGCTTCATTGGGCAAGCACTAAAACCCATATCGTGATCAAGGTTGGGACAGTTAATTTTGTGAACCCATATTCTATTGCCCAATCAAGCTATGGCAACATACCTTTGAATGAAATCTCAAGAGCAGTTATGAGGTAAAAACTATTTGAAAATCTCAACTTCAGATCCGCCTAGCACCGAAACTAAGCAATTTTATACTGAATTTCACATTCGAATTGTTTTGGTCTGAGGCATATTTGGTAATTTTCTGTAAAGACCATGTAGGGACACTCTGAACGTTGTGAAGCATATTTTCAACAAAATTAATAACTTGAAAATACATTTTACTTCACCACAAATCAGACATTTGTAAAATAACATCTTTTAGGTGTAGCGGCGCGTAGTTTTATCTTCCAAATCGTTTTGTTGTTTCTGTTCATTTGCTGACATGCTTCTGCAAGACCGAACTAGGATCAATTTCCATTTTGAAAAGGAATATTCTCAGATATATTATGAACTTTGAGAACAATATTTCAGTGGGTTCTTCATACTGTTTGAAACACCTGTATATCTAGTCAGGGCCACTTGGTTTAGCAAGTTATTTTTCATATCACGTGATCCAATTCGATCATTAAGGACCATGGAGATGCAATGTATCTTTTGATTCATCCTCTGTCATGTTCGTGTTGAAATATCTATCCTTCCGCACGATATTTTTTATATACCACCCTATACAGGGTGAAAAATATCCAGCTTAGGATCTTCGAGAGTTTGAACAGATTGTCAGTTTTGATGGCATTGACAAGTGAAATTAACGCACCATCTGAAATGAATCTTTAATATGATGACAGGTATATTGTAACCTCACTTCTAACTTATCTAATTTCTATGCATTTCATGTCATATAGAGCGTGTCTCACTTCGAGGGCCCCCCTCTCATCTATATCTCAGTTATTAGTCGTACGATTCATACCAAATTTGGACCGGTATGAATAACCATCAATATGATCAGTGTTTCAGAGACGAACATTTTTTTGGACAGTGCCGTGTTTTTTTTATTGAAATAAAAAGGGGTCGATTTTCATGAAATCATATCAAGAATTTTTTACAAGAAAACTAACTAACATATTATTGTTCCTCATGCTCTCTCGAACCGCCATATGCGAAAAACACCTCATTCCGAATCAACAGGGTTTTTTTCATTTTCAGTCTCGAAAAAATAGTGAAATTCAAATTGACTGCACATTTTGGAACGGTTCAATTGCTCCGGTAGGTAGTAAATTATGTTTTGAAAGAAAAATAAGATATACTATTTTATGTTCAACTCACCTCACATATGGGGGTTTAAAATCATGACGAACAATACTATGAGATCAGTTTTCTTGTAAAAAAATCCTAATATGATTCAATAAAAAAATGAATCCTATACATTCTAATAAAAACGCACGGCACTGTCTAAAATTGTTCGTCTCTAAAAAACTGATCATGTTGATGGATAATACCCGTCCAAATTTGGTAAAGATCGCACAAATAATAGCAGATATAGGGGGGGGGGGGGCGTTTGAAATGAGGTATGCTGTAGATAGATGACATAAGACCCTCCAACCACACTATTGCAGCTACACGGGAACAAAATATTGGAAAACTTTGCGATTCAGGAAAGAAAAAATCACTTAAGTTAGACTCATGTGATCAAGAAAACTATAGTACATTTTTAGTGGTGCGTTGATTCCTTTAGTCAAAGTGATCTCCAGTTACTGGTTGACAAGACATAACTGATATTATATAATATGAATTTTTGAGGATATCAAACATGTGCCACAGTATACCATTTCCAGTTGTTTACTAGGAAGTGTCATATATACTTTGTGAAGTATCAGTTGCATTTCAAAAGGCATCAAATGTATTTCAGGAAACGTCAATTGAATTTCAGAATGCGTTCTCTAGCAGAAATTGGTTGCTCTATTTGAAAAAAATAAAGTTTACTTCACAGAGGTCACGGGAGCACTAAACACCCTAAGCATTCTCACATGGAATGTAATTTATACTCACAATTCAATCTCAATGATTCTGAAAAACCGATGATTCTGAAAAACAAATGACGCTTTCTAAACTACAAATGACAAATTCTGGAATTCAACAAACTATATTTTTTGAATTCGCATTATAACTGAACTTGCCAAGTTTTCTACTTGATTAAACAGATGTGAATTTTTCGTTCGTTACTATAACTTGACCTTTTTATTTTTCAATATGTTATTATCATTAATTGTGCGCTTTTGCTATTTTTCCATTTTCAATCGACTATATGCAATAGGGTTGTAACTATTTTAGCAGTGCAGGCACATGTTCAACGCCCAATATTTCCAAAACAAAAACACTAATAACAAAATAAGTACAATTTGTTTGTTTCAAATCTCATAAAAATCACACTTTGTGTCAAATACACAGTAAATAATAAATAAATAAATAATATATAAATAAATAAAAACTATAAACATTCAACTCTCGCATGGACTAAGTGAATATAATATAATAGGTGAACAATATAATTATAAAGGAGTCGGTAACTGATGAAAATGTAAAAATAATCAACAGGACATACATACGATTTTTCTCTTCGACAAGAGTTATTTGTTGATAGAATAGGATGGTGAAAAATCATGTGATCGGCTCACAAATGGGATTTAGAGCCTTCTTGCTGATAAAACAGGACGTACGCTTCTCCACTCACCAGAGATTTTGGTGATATCGACGACACACTAGAACAAAACATGATTGATTAATGTTGTTTGAAAATTCAATTCAATGAATAATAGTGTCAACATCGAGAAATATAAATTCTGTCTGTAGGTTAATCGAGGAGGTGGTACAGGGCGATTCACCATAAATGTCCCCCCCTCTAGCTCAGTTATTTTTAAACCGATTCCAAAATTTTAAATATCATCTTAAATGATTTTCGATAAATTTTTTTTCCGCTACATCAGAAAATACAGGGTGCTCGGAACAAACGATCTACAGGGTACTATTTGATTTTTTTAAATGGAACACCCTATTTTTCATTGTATTTTTGAATTCTCCTTGAATAGCTGATTCAATCAATGCATCACACTGGGTCTAGCGGAAATGATCACAGAGATATAGGGTGTTTTTTGTGACGAAACTATTCATTATCGGTCAAAACGGCTCTCATGTCCATATCTTAACTTCTGATTTACTATTTACTGACATTCAATAATTGGAACAGATACAGGGTGATCAGAATTCTGAATCTAGAACCACCCTGTAAATGTTCCAATTAAATGTCAGTAGATAGTAAATCAAAAGTTGAGATAGAGACATACAAGCCGTTTTGACCAATAATGAATAGTTTCGACACAAAAGAATCCTAAAGTTGAAAAATCTCGATTTTTAACACCCTATATCTCTGTAATCATTTCCGCTAGACCCTAAGTGTGATGCATTGATGAAATCAGCTCTTCAGGGAGAATCTAATGTATAGAAAAAATATCAAATTTTTACGTATCTTTGGACGTTTCGGGAATGCTCCCGTTTTCAACATAAAAAATGGATTTCTTTGTATGGTAAATTCGTATTTGTCCTGATTTGTTTAATTTTTTCTGATAAAACATTTTTGAGATGACCTAATATGCCCAGTAGATTCTGTTTACGAACAAATTACATTTTTTGACATAGTAGTTACTGTTGGTTTCGCGATTCGAAGCAATTGTTCGTCTTAGTGGGTAATTACTTTTTCATAATTATTTCACATTATTCACTGTATTGAAAAAACTGGTCATAGCTTGGGTCTGAAAATTCTCAATTTGATTGACATATCCATACTAAGTATATTGGTGGAAAAAAATATTACATCGACGGTGATAATTTCGAATTAGAGGGTGATGGAAAAAATAGTGGTTTTTGAATATTTTTTTGTGGTTGTCAATTTTTTCAATCAAAGAATCACTCTGTATATCAACTCATTGGGATGCATCCTTCAAAAATATTATAAATGTCCTAAATTGACCTGATAATACGAGGTGGCCCAATGAAGTTTAGGATAGATGAATTATGCAATCAACGGCATTTATGAAACACCATGTATGATTATTACATTTTACGAATTCAATCGATGTAAGGAGAGCATACTTCGCTATAATTTTCATTTTGTAATTGTTATCAATTTGTAGCATTGATATTCAGGTATTCAAAAAAACACATTAGTTGAAATGTGAATCACCCTGTAATGATAATCAGTTTTGGTCGGATACCGATATGGTTCTTGTGTTCAAGGGCGAAATCGAAACGTACTCGCAAAAAATTGGAATTTATTTCTTCTATCTTAGAGATATAGGCCAAGGAAAAGGGGGTATTTTTCAACTTCAACACCTTGTATCTCGGAAACTAGTAATAGGATTGAGTAGGGACTCGGCATATTTGATCAGTAGGTCGAGTACTATCATGTACCAAAAATTTGGGAAATTCGACGGAACGCCATTTTTATATAGATAAAGTGCGGGGTCCTTTTCAAAAAATAAAAGAATTGAAAGCACGAGTGTGAAGATCAAGAACAAAAAATGAAAAAAAAAAAAAAATAGTTATTTATTATACAAGGGAAAAAAGTATTAGATTTTAGCTCCAGGTTGTGTTGTCTCCCGACGCGTAGCGGAGGAGACAAAAAACCGTGAGCTAAAATCTAATATTTTTCCTTTGTATAATACACTATTTTTTTCTGTGACAGAAGGAAGGACGAATCAATATTGAGAAGATATTACATTATTTCAAAATCTGAAAATTATCGACGTGAAATTTCAATTTTTTAACATGAGGGACACCTGCGTTTTATAGACATCTTTATCATTCTTTTGAAGTAATCAAATATCTGATGTCACTTCTGTCAGTCTAATTCTGTGATTTGATTTTAAAAAATTGCGAATTCAGTAGTTGTTTAGTAATATACGAAACCGCGAAGTCGAATGGAAGATAAAAGGACTTGCAGTTCTTTCTCGGAGACGGTATTATTGACTCATTTTTCGGAACTATAGCACAACAAAAGCCATTAACAGAGTATATATATGTGATATATATCCGGGAAAAAAGTACTCACTTTTTTCCCACGGGAAAAAAGTAATTTATGAAAAGTGACATTTTATAACCTGCCAACAGAGATGAAATGCCAAACTTTTTTCCCGTCACAGAAAAAAAGTTTTTTTTAAACACTCACCGACTACCTTTATACTCGTGCCAGTTGTTCGAATAGAGATGCCGGCAGTAGACTGTGTAATGGCCGCTAAACGTGATTGTATTATACGAATTCGACGAAAAATAATTTTCGAACGACCTAGCAAATTTTCAAAAATTAACGGGATTGAAAGCACATCAAGAACAAAGAACGAACAAAAAAAACTCGTGCCACTTGTTCGAATAGGAATGCCGGCAAAGGGCCGTGTAGTGGCCGCTGTACGTTGGTCGTATTATACGAATTCGACGAAAAATAATCATCGAACTAACCAGCAAATTTTCAAAAAATAATAAAATTGAAATCACTAGTGTGAAGATCAAGAACCAAATACGAACAAAAATCAATTTCCTAAACACTCACGACTATCGTTGTACTCGTGCCAGTTATTCGAATATGATGAAAAATAATTCTCAAACCAGCAAAATTTAAAAAATATAATAGAATTGAAAGCACGAGTGTGAAGATCAAGAACAAAAAAACGAAAAACAAAAACATTTTCTTAAACACTCACCGACTATCGTCATACTCGTGCCAGTTGTTCTAATAGGGATGCCGGCAGTAGGCCGTATAGTGGCCGCTGTACGTGGTCGTATTATACGAATTCGACGAAAAATAATTTTCAAACCAGCAAATTTTCAAAAAATAAGAGATTTTAAAGTACGAGTGTGAAAATCAAGAACGAAAAACGAAAAAAAAAATCAATTTCCTTAACACTCACCGACAATCTTTGTACTCGTGCCAGTTGTTCGAATATGATAAAAAATAATTCTCAAACTAACCAGCAACATTTAAAATAATAATAGAATTGAAAGCACCAGTGTCAAGATCAAGAACGAAAAAGAAATCAGTTCCCTAAACACTCACCGACTATCGTTCTCAAACCATCAAATATTAAAAAAATAATAGAATTGAAAGCACGAGTGTGAAGATCAAGAACAAAAAACGAAAAAAAAAATAGTTATTTATTATACAAGTAAAAGTAGTAGATTTTAGCTCCAGGTTGTGTTGTCTCCCGGCGCGTAGCGGAGGGAGACAAAAAACCGTGAGCTAAAATCTAATATTTTTCCCGTGTATAATGCACTATTTTTTTTCTGACAGAAGAAAGGACGAATCGATATTGAGAAGAGTTACATTATTTTGAAATCTGAAAATTATTGACGTGAAATTTCAAGTCTGTAACAGTAGGGACACCTACGTTGTAGGCATCTTTATCATTCTTTTGAAGTAATCAAATATCTGATGTCACATCTGTCAATCTAATTCTGTGATTTGATTTCAAAAAATTGCGAATTTAGTGGTTGTTTAGTAATATACGTAACTGCGAAGTCGAATGGAAGATAAAAGGACTTGTAGTTCTTTCTCGGAGACATATTATTGACTCATTTTTCTTAACTATAGCACAACAAAATCCACCAACAGTGTATACAGGGTGTTATTTGAGTATGTGGCCAAATTTCAAGGGCGGATTATTTGGATGATTCTGAGATGGAAAGTTCATGTGAACATAGGCCCAGAAATGCTTCATTTTCAAGATACAGGGTATCGAAGTTTCAATTAAAAAATCATTTTTTTATTAATTACTCAAGATTCTGGTTTCCAATTTCGATGAAACTTGGTAATTTTGTTAACAGAATCAAGAAACTCCTTCTGGTGTGATTAGATTCGAAATAATGAATCCAGTGGCGTTACCTACCTCAAGGTTTTTTCCAAGTTCGATATTTTTATCAGATTAAACAATTGAAAATACAACTTTCTTGGCCCCTATTAAATTTTTGTATATCACTTAGTTTTCGAGAAAATAATGGAAAATTGATTTGATTCCAAATTGTAATGTAGGTGCCCTCAAAATACCCATTGGAATCATCCAATAACCTCAATGAGTATTATACAGACATTTTGAGACTTTCTTAGTCAACAACCAGACTAAATTATGCCATTATAACAGCTCATGAAAAACAACAATCAATACATCCAACTTCAACATGCTGTATCTTGTAAACGAAGCATTTTGGGACCTATGTTTGTATGAAATTTTCGTCTTAGATTCACCCCAATAATCGCCCCTTGAAGTTTGCCACATACTTAAATAACACCCTGTATATATATATGTGATATATATCCGGGAAAAAAAGTACTCTTTTTTCCCACGGGAAAAAAGTAATTTATGAAAAGTGACATTTTATAACCTGCCAACAGAGATGAAATCAAACTTTTTCCCGTCACAGAAAAAAAAAACAGTTTCTTAAACACTCACCGACTATCGTTATACTCGTGCCAGTTGTTCGAATAGGGATGCCGGCAGTAGGCCGTATAGTGGCCGCTGTACGTGGTGCCGCTGTGATTGCTGATGGCGTACAAGTTGTAGCGGCACGGCGCATGCCCGTCGGCGGCATAGGAGCTCATGTCCAGCCCGTCCAACGGGAAGTCGACGGTGACATTCAGTTTGCCGCGGAAACGCTCCGTCGGCGAGAACCGCTTCAGGTCTTCGAATGATTCGGGTCAAGGAAATACACAAATTGACTGCGACAGCGCTATTTATACAGGGTCTCTATAAATGATCGTAACACTGTAGTGGCTGTTGAATTTTTTTTCCATTTGCCGCTTTCTACTAATGCTGTTAACAACATTTAACGACCAAAAAGAGAGGAAGTGATCATATACAGGATCTTTTTTTTATATCGTTTTGCATACACTATGGAAATGTATCTCAAAGAAAGGAGAGTCCAATATTGGAGTTTGAAAAATAATGAAACAAATCAAAAATATTTATTAAAGAAGTAATAAATAACGGTTTATTTCATTAACCTACATCAAATGTTCAAAATGTTCTCCGTTGTTCTCCAAGCATTTCAAAACTCCTCGCCGTTTATTGTCGAAAATGTTCCTCAGCATTTCCGGAAAAGAAGGATTAACTCCTCGACTTATCACACGGTTGTCATAAAATTCTTGTAAATATTCTAAATTTGCACGTGTGGTGTGGGCAGTGGCACCATCTTGCTGAAAATAGCCAACTCGAATTTCTTCATCATCGAGTTGATAAATGAATGGTTTTAACATCACTTGTCTGTACCTTTTACCATTGAGTGCCATCGAAGAAAATCGGTCCATATATTCGCCTACGAGAAACTGCCAACCACACCCAAATTTTTTGAGAATGTAATGGAGTCTCAATGAAATTGTGGGGATTCTCAGATCTCCAAAACATAAAATTTTGTGAGTTCACGTATCCCGATAAGTGAAACCAAGCCTCATCGCTGAAAAACGTTAGGTCCAATAGCTGGCAGTACTCCAGACGACGTGGGATATCTATTGGCAGAAGTTGCAGTAGTACACTAGTCTTGTAAGGGTGCATATGCAATCTTTTCTCCAGCACTTTATGGCATGTACTTAGTGGCACACTAGATTGTAAAGATGATATCTTCAATGGCGTTTGGGGATTTTGCTCAACACGCGCCCTTAGATTTTCGACAACTTCTTCCGATATTTGGGGCCTTCCTGTTGATTTCTCCTTATTAACGTTTCCAGTTTGGATGAATCTGTTGACCACTGTTCTGATGTGGGCTTTCAAAGAAGATTCTTGAATCTGTACATTAGGATATTTCGTCAGGTACTCATCCTTGCAGGCTACTACCGAGTAACTCCATCCACCATTGATGAATGTGCCATTTTGACAACAAGGCATTACAATACATGTATTCTGCTCCGAGGAATAAGCCATCCCTCTTTTCAACGCGACAATCACGAAGTAGAAAACAGAATCGTTTGAAAATTTTAACGAATAACTGACAATTGTGAGTTTATCAGCTATGACAGTATAATGATTGATGTTATAAATTAAATTCGAATGTGTGAATCTCCTGAAAGGCGGCAAATGGAGAAAATATTTCAACGGCTACTACGATGTTACGATCATTTATAGAAAAACCCTGTACTAGATCGTTCCATTCTCCCATTAGAGCTGTGTTTCGTAGCATACCAGGTATATCTATTTTGTGCTTGTGGAATGTATTCAATTTTCAAATGTATTTTATATTCTAGAATAATTCTGCTTCGTCAGTTTTCAAAATTGTTTATTTAAAATTGTTATTATTTTCCATGACATTAACCTTCAGTTTTTTATACAGTGTGTCCCGAAATCAGCCTGCCAAACTTGAGCATGAGACGAGAAATGTCTCTTAAGGGAGCTACGGCCCCCTAAAAGGGGGCTCCTGAAGGTGATATTTCTTTAGAATTTCCGAAACTCCTTGTGACAGATAGATGCAGTTTGGTACAAGAACTAAACTTTCCATGCCCAATGCAGTTTGCATATTTTCCGACTATTTGATCTCGGATTATGAAAATCCACACCTCTACAGAAAAAAGGTACTCTTGTTCCGTAGCGATCAGATGTATCATTATCGAGTAAAAGCGATTCAAAAATATCGTTACATCTCAGATATTATACCGGGTGATTCAATAAGGTGACGAGGTACTGTATCTCAGGAACTAATAGTCGTAGAAGTTTGGGAAAAAAATTCTTTCGAGGAAATCGACCAAGAAAAACTGCTGGAAATATTTTTTGAATCCATACGTCCACCGCTAGGGGGCGTAATAGCTTCGATCGTATGAAAAATGTAATTTTTTCGAATTTTTTCCAATATAAGTTTAGAAATGAATACTCTCACGTCAATGTCATCCTATTGGTCCATCTTTTTGTTGAATAGATTTTCATTGTAGGACGTAAAATGAAGACGGGAGGGAATGCTAAACTTTTTGGACTGTAAATGTCTATAACTTTAGTTTGACGTATCGGAAATTTGCTAACAAGGTTTCGTTCGTGAAAGGAAGGCTTGGTGAACAAATTAAAAAACCATCTATGCCATTCTGGTTATCATCGCGCTCGTTAGGGGGCGTGTTTTATAAATTTAACCGTTTTTTCAATTTTGCTTCGAAATCTTAAATGGAACCGTATGATTTTTATATTAGATTCCGAAAGTAGATAAAATTTGCAACACAACATGTCCAAACCGCATGGTGATATCTTCATTTGTTTAAAAGTTATGGCTCAAAGAATAGTTCATTGACGAATTTATTGATGAAACAAAATATTTTATTGAGTTTTCAATTTTTTTTGTAATATGCGTAGACAAGCATGCCATGAACAAATAAAAAAACGAAAAAAAAATGTCATTTAAAAACTTTACTATTAGTTAGTAGCGTAGGTATTAAAATTCAAATATATCCAATTTCTTAGAAAGCCGTGAAAACACTTGGTAGACAGTTTCTATGGAAACGTCGATTTTCCACAAATAGACATCAGTTTATTATTTGACATTCGAATTTGTAAAGAACCTAATTTAAAGTTCAAAAAATGCCGTATACGAACGAGGAAGCTTTTGATATGTTAGCAGTCTATTTTGAATGTCTTCAACATGCCGCTATAACCGAAAGAGAATACGCATTTAGATATCCTGCACGACGTCATCATTCAAGAAATGTTTTCAAAAGATTAGCTAAACGATTGAAGGAAACCGGACATGTCCAGGCAGTCGCATCCCCAAATAGAGTACGGAGAACAAGAAATGAAGTCAATATTATAAATGTGTTAGCTTATATTACTGCCGACCCTCATTTAAGCATAAGAGATTTGGTAAGAGATCTCGGATTGACATATTCTTCAGTTCAACGTATATTAAGAGAAAATAAATTACATCCGTACCATGTGAATTTACATCAAGAATTAAAACTAGCCGATTTCGACCATCGACTGGACTTTTGTTATTGGCTGTTGGGGATGGTGAACGAAAACAGAACTTTTCTATCTCAAATATTATGGACTGACGAGGCCACTTTTTGCAGTTCAGGGAAAGTTAATACTCATAACATGCACTATTGGTCCGAAACAAATCCACAATGGTTAAGGGAAGTTCAATTTCAAAATCGATGGAGCGTGAATGTGTGCATGGTGCGGGATTTTGGGTGGAAGAATTATTGGGCCATATTTTTTTGATCAGCATTTAAATGGCGTAATTTATCTTCAATTTTTGGAAGGCCAGTTACCCATACTGTTAGAAGATATTCCTCTGGAGGACAGAATCAACATGTGGTTTCAACAAGATGGATGCCCAGCCCATTATGCTCGAAATGTTCAGAATTTTTTAAATATGCAGTTTCCGGATAAATGGATAGGTCGGAACAGCATTTTCTCTTGGCCGGCGAGGTCTCCCGGCCTTACTGTCCTGGATTTTTATTTATGGGGTAGGCTTAAAGACCTAGTTTATAAAAACCGTCCAACAACAGTTGATGATATGAAATACAGAATTCGGGAAGCCATTAGAAACATTTCCGCGGCCGAAATTGAAGCTAGTGTCATCCACAACTGAAAGACTTGAATTATGCGTGGCCAATAACGGTGGACATTTTGAACATTTGAAACTTTGAATTTTTTTGATAGTAGAGTTTGTTCAATTATGTAAATATTGTAATTGTTGTTTTCTTGTTTGTATTTGTATTTGTCCATGGCATGCTTTGACTACGAAATTTGAAAAAAAAAATCAAAAACTTAATTACCTCTTTTGTTTCATCAATAAATTCGTCAATGAACTATTCTTTGAGCCATAACTTTTAAACAAATGAAGATATCGCCATGCGGTTTGGACATGTTGTGTTGCAAATTTTATCTACTTTCGGAATCTAATGAAAAAATCATACGGTTCCATTTAAGATTTCGGAGCAAAATTGAAAAAACGGTTAAATTTATAAAACACGCCCCCTAACGAGCGCGATGATAACCAGAATGGCATAGATGGTTTTTCAATTTGTTCACCAAGCCTTCCTTTCACGAACAAAACCTTGTTAGCAAATTTCCGATACGTCAAACTGAAGTTATAGACATTTACAGTCCAAAAAGTTTAGCATTCCCTCCCGCCTTCATTTTACGTCCTACAATGAAAATCTATTCAACAAAAAGATGGACCATTAGGATGACATTGACGTGAGAGTATTCATTTCTAAACTTATATTGTGAAAATTCGAAAAAATTACATTTTTCATACGATCGAAGCTATTACGCCCCCTAGCGGTGGACGTATGGATTCAAAAAATATTTCCAGCAGTTTTTCTTGGTCGATTTCCTCGAAAGAATTTTTTTCCCAAACTTCTACGACTATTAGTTCCTGAGATACAGTACCTCGTCACCCTTATTGAATCACCCGGTACAAAACATTGCAATGAGTCGTAGACGTAATAAAAAAAATGCACAAGAATTGAAGTAGATTTTTATCATTTTCCCATTTTTCGCGCCTTAATGAGATTGTTTGGTGAAAAGAAAGCAGTTGATTTTTTTTAGCAACTATGATTTGTAAATTGGCAACGGTATACATAAGATGTGTGTATTAATATTTTTAAACCGATTTCACTCGAAAATAATCGATACGGAACAAGAGACCTTTTTTTTGTGAAACGGTGTGGATTTTCATAATCCGAGATTGAATTGTCGAAAAATATGCATACAAAAAAGTTTGAGCAATATTTAATGTAGTCCAACCCTGTATTATACACTCCTAAACGAAACTTTTGAATGATTTTATGTTCACCGCATTGGGCATGGAAAGGTTGGATGAATCCATTTTATGTAAACCAGCGAAACCAAATATACTATGATATTTCTTGAATATTTGCGAAACGCCACGTGATAAAATGATGAAACTTGGTACAAGAACTAATAAACTTTTAAACTATATTGACTGTATTGAACAGTCTGGTCACACTCATATAATATGGCATTAATATATTGTTCCATGATCAAACTGATGCTTCATTTCGATAATCAGTAATTAAACTCTTGACAATGTTGTAGTGACACTTTTACTTACGTTTTGTAACCAGCCGATATTCATTTGCTTCATTGAGACATTCAGGTTTCTATTTAAGAGAGAAAACTTTCTATACTCCTGATTTTTAACATCTAGTTTCATTTTAAAAGAATATAAAAAAGGATACGGATGACTAGAACTTTGGGAAATTTGTGTATCGATAATGACTTCGTACATTTCCGTCTCTCTTTGCATTTGGAGCAGGTCTGAAAATCAAAAGTAGTGCATCAGATTCAATTTTCATTGTAACATATAACTTTTGAGATAGGTCAATGACAATAACATGTGTGTGACTCACTTCTTTATAGAATTTTTGGTGAGATTCTAACTATGTCAATGTCTACATTGGTACAGGGTGTAAGTAATTTGGCATAATAAAAAAAAAAAGAGAAAAGAAGTTTGATTTAATTTGCAGTACGCAAATGTTTTATAATTTTTTGTCATTTTATTATAGGTAAGTACACTAGGAAGAAGTAACTTTGTACATTCCATTAGCTGATGTCTTTCAATTTTATTGTATATTATCTGTCTGGTCATTTGCAAATAACTCGAAGACAAATGTATACATCAAATCGCGGTTTGCGCCAAAATGTTCTTGTTTTCTTCACGATCAATGGTGCATTTGAGTTTTTCAAGAAAATCCGAAAAAATCGAATGTCCGATAAACTACGCCATCTATAAGACGCGGTAAGAACTAGCGACCGTAAACGAAGTCAGTTTTCGAAGTGTGAAATTATCACTTATAATATCCCAAGGCTATTGATAATTTCGAAATAATTTATCGCATACTTTCGAAGGCGAGTTGTATTTACCTAAAAGCAACTTATTTGAGGAATTTATCATTTTTTTTCATAGAATTGGAATCGACTCATTTTCGATATTTCCATATCTACTAGAAGTGACTGACATTTTGAGAATTTGATTGAGTTGACATCAAACTATGTCATTACCAATGGCAGCTCGATTTTTCAACAGTGACAATTTACCGGGGCACTTTGTTGTTTGTCTGATTGGCTAATAATGGTCACTTGGTCACAAATACGTAGATTCAAATTACATGAAAAAATGTTTCTTTCAAACGAGCCCAAGTTGATTGAATTTGGATACAAGTATGCAAGATACAGCAATTTGAGAAATAGCTTGTTTGCAAGCTTTTCCCACCATTATTATTAAAAATACAAAAAAAAAAAGTCCTGAGACAAACACAACTATGAATCAATGATGTTTTCATTTCCGTTATCATAAATCACCTTGCACAGCGATTTTGTGAGATTGCTTCGAATTTCTCGTTGTATCATAGTGACTTCGCCTTCTACCGGACATTTTAGAAACTTGAAAATATTTAGAATCATATTCTCACCGCCGAATTCGTCAATAGATTTTTTTCCCGAAGCTGTAAGGTTTATGGTTGCCATAATATCGTATCCCGCCGACCTTAGTGGGACACTCTGTATTGAATTATTTTATAAGGCGTCAAAAATCTTCATTAAAAATGAAGCCGTAATGACAAATTAAATCAAACATAGTTATGAAACAAGAAACAAAATCAACAATGTATGACTTGAAAAACATTAACTCAAAATTTGGAAAACCTTCTGCTTCTCTGTTCTGTAGTTTTTAAAAACATGGGCGGATGCTATTTTTGAAGTAACACAAGAAAAGTCACAAAATGTGACTATTTTTGCTGTTATTTATAAACAAAATACCAAGTATGTGCTATCGTTGTACTCCAAAATGAAAAATAAATCCTCTGGACTCACCGGTTTCTCTTCCCCGTCCAATGTCTCCTCTCTGGTGAACGAATCCAAACACTGCGCCAACCTCAAGGGCCCCGTCCGTTGCGGTATGGGCAACGATAGATCCCAAAAGGGATCGAAAGTGACCGAACAATGGCCGCACAACGTGCAGCGCAAAGTCGATTTCAATTGTCCCACGAAATGGTCGACGATCTTCGAATTGTCCATGCGCAGGTATCGAGACCACGACTCTAGGGCTTTCTCGTTATCGCTGAAAAAACACGGGAATTTCATCATCTCCCTTATCTATTCCTTCCTTTGTTTCTCTTTCCTCCTCCCTCGTTCTAAGCCTTTTTATTTTTCCATTCATTTTGCTGTGCATCTGTTTAGTACTGTATGACCCTATACAGAGTGGGCCATTGAAAACGAAACAGCGGCTCTGTAGGTCGGAAAAACGGGATTATGAAAAAAATCTGAAACACGTCAACTAAATTCTCGAGGGGGACATCGTTCTAAAATATTTTCAGCCCTGCGGCGTTGCCGCTTCTGACGAAAAGAAGCAACAACTTTGTTATTTCAAATGGAACACCTTGTATTTCATTGCATTTTTAGATTCTTCCGGAAGAGCTGATTTCATCAATGCATCACACTTGGGGTCTAGCTGGAATGATTACAGGGATATAGGGTGTTCAAAATCGAAATTTTTCAACTTAGGATTGTTTTGTGTAAACTATTCATTATTGGTCAAAACGGCTTTTGTGTCCCTATCTCAACTTTTGATTTACTATCTACTGACATTTAATTGTAACAGATACAGGGTGATCATAAGTCTGAATCTTGAACCACCCTGTATTTGTTTCACATAAATGTCAGTAAATCAAAAGTTGAGATAGGGACATGAAAGCCGTTTCGACCAATAATGAATAGTTTCGATACAACACAATCCTAAAGTTGAAAAATTTCGATTTTGAACACCATATATCCCTGTAATCATTCCAGCTAGACCCCAAGTGTGATGCATTGATGAAATCAGCTCTTCCGGAAGAATCTAAAAATGCAATGAAATACAAGGTGTTCCATTTGAAATAACAAAGTTGTTGCTTCTTTTCGTCAGAAGCGGCAACGCCGCAGGGCTGAAAATATTTTAGAACGATGTCCCCCTCGAGAATTTAGTTGACGTGTTTCAGATTTTTTTCATAATCCCGTTTTTCCGACCTACAGAGCCGCTGTTTCGTTTTCAATGGCCCACTCTGTATAGTATAAGATTGATTGATTGTCTTTATTACCCCAAGAAACATAGTTGTTTATAATAGGGATACATAATTAATATACATAATGTTATACATACAATTATGAAATTATAATAAGATATAACAAGTAAAATTAAAAAAAAAAAATGCAAATAATCATGCAATATCAACCTTGTCTTTTATAAGTAGGTATTTAAATAAGAAATGGAATTATCAAAATCTCTGAAGCAGATATTTTTTCAAGTTAATTTTGAATCTAGTTGCTTCCTGTATATATTCCTCAATTGACTTGGTAATGAGTTGTATAGAACGATTCCTGTGTGAAAAATGGATTGTTTGCCGATATTTGACTTGAACGTATTTGCTATTCGTTGTTAACATGACGACGTGCTGTTGAAACTCCAAGATTTATCAATAAAAATTAATAAATGGGGAAGGATTGCAATACGAATTGCAATATCTAATATCAACCTTTATTTCATTATCATACAGTGTGTCCGGAAAGGTCGTGTCATAAATTATAGGGCTGATAGAGTGAACCGAAATAATGTTAGTACTTAGTACTATTAAAAAATGTCTATCGCACTTAGTTACGGAGTTATTGACCTTGAAAGTTTCTGCAAGTCTATTTAATGCATACCTACTCATCACTACTAAACTCATCCAAGGTGTTATCAAAGTATTAAATACTGTCAAAATAATTTGATGTCAATTATGATGATTACAAGTACCATGATTATTGAATAAATATAGTTTTTTTACCTTTGAAAAGGTTGGGATGTATGCTTTTAAAATGCGATTTTCTCTGGTACAAGATATCGATCAAAATAAAGTATACTAATTTTGTAGAAAAAAGATGAAGGAATCAAACGGTGGAAACAAAATGTAAAATTTGTCAACTCTGTCAAAAATGTTCCCATTTAACGGAAAAAATTCGTCCTATCCTGTATAAAACATATTCACTGATTTAACTCCAGTTTCCCGAATATCATTGATACCATGGCAACCGTTTGAAGGTTATACATAAAATATATTTTTTATTCAAACTTCTAAGGTCAATAACTCTGTAACGAAGTGCAATAGACATTTTTTTAATATGAAGTACTGACATTCTATTGGCTCACTCTGTCAGCCCTATCATTTACGACATGACCTTTCCGGACACCCTCCCTGTATATCATATAACTATACAAATACAGTCCACTACCTATCAAAAGTATCGAACAATTCGGTCCTCCGAGCAGGATTTTTCAAATTAAAACTTCAAAGACTACCAAGTTCTTCATAAACGAAGCAGAGCAGCACTCAAGACTACTTTGGGTAACAGTGAATGCAAGCAGCTAGAGCTCTCACAGGCAGCAACAAGCAGTTCAAGCATCGAACACGATCGGCCCTGGTTCAATTCTTTGCGAGGTTTCTAGAGTAATTTTCCGAAAAATATACTTTCTAGGAAGGAGGTTCAGTCAAGCCGAGTTAGGTTTAGATTGTTTGAAAAAAATAGTCTCCTTTCCGACGCAGAAAGGATATTTCCCTTCCTTATATTATCTACTTCACAAAATCGTCTCTCTCTCTCTCTCTCTCTCTCTCTCTCTTTCCGTCTTCCGTAAATATCCTGAGAATCCTCCACCCAATTTTGTTGAAATTTGGCAGTTTTATTGGTAGCAGTATGGAGTAGATTTAGTCATAATCAGACTTACGAAAAACGTATTTTTTCTTAAAAATTTGTATCTTGAAAGCTATATGCATTTGCGGACCTATCTTTATATGAACTTTTTGTCTCGAAGTCACCCCAACAATCACCCTTTGAAGTTTCGCCAGATACTTGAATAACACCCTGTTTATTGTCTATAAATAATATCAATCGACGTGTCCGAGCCTTTTTTCGTACACGCCCTTGTTTCTTCATAATCAAATTGATTCCATTTGGCTGATACACACTGTGTGGCAAAACAATCTATACCATCCTCACCTCAATTTTTCGTCGATCTCTGTCAGTATCGGTTTCGGCTTCTCCACCACCCGATTCACGTCCTCGTGCAGCCCTTCCAGCAGGTAGCGCAAGAATTCCTGCGCATCCTGCTGCGCATAACCGATAAAACGTGGCGCGAACCTCTGGATTTGACTTTTGAGGGACACCGTGTTGACGACTCTATCAGAGGAATCTTCCGACCACAGTTCTTGGATCACCGCCGCAAACGCTGAAAAAAAATCATTTAAAAAAAATTGAATTTTCATATTTGGATTGAAGATATGTTTATAGTTCCTTGAAACCCATATTTGCCGTGAAGAAGCAATTCAATATCACCTCCGGTTTCAGCGGAAACAGATATAAGTCGAGAATTTTCAAAGGTACCCTGTAGGTATTTTAACGTCATTCGATAGAGCGACAAATTCCCTTTTTAATGACATGTCACAAGTAGACATTTGCTCTTGGAACGGCAACGCAAGAAACGGTTTTTCTATAATCAATATGGCGACTCTTCCGACCACAGTTTATTGGATCACGGCCGCAAATGCTGAAACTGAATCATTTTCGATATTTCGAATTTTAACATTTGGATCGGTGATAGAGTTCCTTAAAACCCATATATTTCGTGAAAAAGCAATTCAATATCACTTCCGCTCTCACAGGAAATAGACCTAGGTCGACAATTTTCAATGAAACCCTGTAGATATTTAATCGCCTATCTATAGAGCGAAAAATTCCCTTTTCAATGACATGTAACAAGTGCCATTTTTTTTTCAAAATGGACACGCAGGAGAGGTTTTTCTATAAACAATATGGCGTCACTGTGACGTCATCTCGCATTCTTTCCAGCAGGTAGCGCAAAAATTCCTGCGCGTCCTGTTGCGCGTAGCATATAAAACGCGGCGCGAACCTCTGGATTTGACTTTTGAGGGGCACCATGTTGACCGCGTGGTACGAAGAGTCTTCCGACCACAGTTCTTGGATGACTGCCGCAAACGCTGAGACAGGAGCATTTCCGATAATTGTTGCTTCACAATTTGTATTTGTCGCCATTTGATATATCGCATCCTCTTTCCCACTCGAGGAGCCTGCCTGCAGTCTCATTCATAAATTATTATTAAAGACAGAGGAAGATAATACAGGGTGATTCAAAATTCGATGTAAATATTTCAGGGACAAAATATTTTTGTGGTCAAAATATGACTTTTTCTTCATATAAACATGTGTCCTAAGATGCACCCCTTCTTAGCTACAACCACTGTAAGTTAGGTAAAAAAAATATTATCTAGAATTGTGACTAAAATAACGGATTGAATCTTCTGAAACTTGTCTTTTTAGACACTCTATTTCCTTCTTGCTTCAAAAATGATGTGAACCATAGAATAGGTCTATCCATCCATAGAAGACGGAACTATTTACATTTGAATAGGATCAGACATTCCCAAATTTTGGTCCACTGTATGTTACTAGTGTGGCCGACTAGATTGTACGGTTGCCAGATATTCACTTATGAAAGGAGAATCGTCATAATTATCATCATACATACAATATCTAGAATAATATATTTGGAGTAATACGGTGCTGATGATGTTTCGACTGTACAATATTTCATACAGCATAATACTCTGATTAATATAATCCAATTTTAGAATAAATTACCATTGAACTATTCCATTCCGTCAGATCACATAGATTCGGAGCAGAAAGCGCGACAACGCCGCATACGGAAAAATTTATTATACGTAATAGGTGCCACAAGTGATACTATTTTGAGGAAAATTGCCGAATAATTTCGCCGAATGACATTGTTTATCAAAAATTTCGAGACGGATATTTCCAGGAAAAATAGTATCACGAGTTGTATTCGTATGAATATTTCATTATTGAGACAATAAACGAGCGTCTCGCGAGAGTTGCGCAAACTGCATCCATCATTCTGGCTTTCAACATGATTGACGTTTCGAATGTCAAAAGTTTTATCGCTGAAAAACCAGGTTGGTTGGTTACGTATGGTTCAATGCGGCTTCTGTATCGGTAGAGCAATTTTGGTAAACAAAAAATATTGATTTAATACAGAAGAAAACGTGAAAATGGTCGATTCTGATCGGTTCTCGAGAACAAGAGTGGAATAGTCAATAATGAGAATACATCTCGCTGATTGACTTCCTCACTTTTGGTTCAGGAAACAAACGAATTTTCGGATTAAATAATATGATCCTGACACATTGCAACAACGTCAGTCTAATAAAGAACCAATGTTATCATGAATTATCATCAGATTTCAGTATTGGTAGAGCAAGTCCTACAAAATATCAATGTAATACAGAAGAAAACGCGTGGAATAGTCAATAATAAGAATACATCTCGCTAATTAACCATGACCTCACCTTTGATTAAGGCTCCCTTCATGCTCGATATGGTCGTGTTGATATCTCTGATGTAGGCGTCCTTCCTCAGATACTCCAACAGCCATCTGGTGTGCGACAGGCATTGGATGACGCTGTTCATAAAGCACGTGTTCCCGATGTTTTTCAAACCGTTCAGGCCTAACACCTTCACGGGAGACGATCTGACAAAAATATTAATATTGAATGTACAGTTTATTGATTCTTCATTCTAAGATATGGGTAGAAGATCTATTGTATACAATGGAATAAGTCTCTATAATGTATATAATGGAATTGAAACGGTGGAAGGCACATTAGACATTCCTGGAGAACGTAACTTGGGATTATTCTGAAAATTTGGTGCCTTAGATAATGGGTTGTGCTCTATCGACCTGAAATATTCTCAGCGCTGCGAAGTTGCCGCTTATATTGAGAAACAGCAACAACTTTGATTTTTTGAATGGTACAACCTGTATATTATTCCATTTTCAGATTCTCCCTGGAGAGCTGATTTCATTGTCCTATAACACTTGGCGTCTAGCAGTGACAATTACAGAGATATAGGGTGTGAAAAATCGAGATTTTTCAACTTCAAGATTTTTTTGTGTGAAAACTATTCATAATTGGTCAAAACGGTTTTCATATCCCAATCTCATTTTTTATTAACTGTCAATTGATATTTAATTGAAATAGGTACAAGGTGGTTCAGTATTAAAATTTTCAACCACCCTGTATCTATTTCAACTAAATATCAATTGATAGTACATGAAAAGTTGAGATTGGGACATGAAAACCATTTTGACTAATTATGAATAGTTTCGACACAAGAAATTCTTGAAGTTGAAAAGTCTCAATTTTTCACACCTTATATCTTTGTTATCATTCCCGATAGACCCCCAGTGTAATAGATCGATGAAATCATCTCTTTAGGAAGAATATGAAAATCGAATAATATATAGGGTGTCCAATTCAAAAAATCAAAGATGTTACTACTTTTCAATATAAGCGGCAACGTCGCAGTGTTGAGAATATTTCAGGTCGATAGAACACAACTAATTATCCAAGAAATCAGTATAATCAGTATAATCCTACGTTGCGTTCTCCAGAAACGTCTAATGTGCTATTCACCGTGAATCAACCTGTATACCTCTGCCAGACTGAAGAAAAAATTAAGCGTTGAGGAATTTAAAGAACTGAAAAAATGCTTTTTTTCTCCAAGCGGCAGGGGAAGTGGCTCTCCTCTGACACTTGAAAGGCAGGAAAGGTGTACTTACTCTGCCTAGGCAGCAACGTTCCAAGAAATTTGATTGAAATTGGTAATCAAAAAGAAACACTGACATTGGATGAAAACAAAACAAAAATAGTTAATCACATTTTATACTTATAAATATATTTTGGCAGGCTCTGTTCAAATTAATTTTACAAAATAAGTAATAAATTTACATATAGGTACTAATGTGCCACGTGCTTATCTTGAACGAACAAAAAAGGGTGTCCTGAAGCACGAGCAAAGGGGTAGCTCAGTACTCAGTCGGGTATTGGGTGAGTTCAATAAAAACAAAGTAATTATTGAGGACGCCACCAACTTACATAATATGGCAAGTTTAAGTTGGAAAACTTCCCTAATCTTGATGGGTCCCTCTTTTTGAACCGTATCGTCAAACAAAAAAATTATGGTAGGGGCTTATCAATGAAAACATATAATCTCTTTCCCAAGTTACTATCGTATATGTTTATTCACTTATTATGTTACTTCGTCATCAACGTGGGGGTGAAAAATATTTCCTGAGTAAATATTGTACTTGAATATGTATCAACCAAAGAAGGACAATACTTTATCTGATTCTTATGAAATTCAATTTTTTATATACCTCTTTTATTAAAGTTAGAACATAATATGTTTAATTTTTTTATTTGTTTTGTATTTTTGTTGTTAATTTTTACTATTCGTTTCTGTTTCTTATGTATTCAACTCTTGAAAGGACCTATGTAACTGTATTTTGTGATATTTGTGAGTATATTTAAATTGAGAATTTGAATTGAGGAATATGATTATTTTTTTATGAGAATGTTTGTTTTGTTTGTTTCTATTTTGTTGGAAATAGGTAACTTATCTGTTTACTAAAAGTACATAATGTTTTGACGTCATAGGTTTATTCCATAACCATTTCTTGGAATTCGTATCGCATAAAATTGATCTGAATTTTTGACAAGGTATTTATTGATGAAATAAAAATCGAACTGGCAACCCTGGTCCGCGCGTAGAGTGAGTTGACAACAACTGTTAATTGCTGTTGTCAAATTAATTATTCACGAAATCCAATAGATTTCACGTGTGAATAGGACCGTGATGTGGATATAAATGTTTGAGGTCGACGAAAATAGTAAATTATACATCAAGGGACAGTAATGCAAGATTTTTTCCAAGGTGCGATTTGTAGCTCGAGGGCGAACCCCGAGAGATACAAAGCACCGAAGGCAAAATAGCATTCTGTCCTGAGGTGTATACAGGGTGTTTTCTAACTACGGTTCCTAACTGCAAGGGGTGATTTGCTAGTTCATTTTATGAAGAAAAGTTCCTATGAACATATGTCCGGAGTTGCTTCATTTCTGAGATAAGTACAAGGCGTTGAAATTAAAGAAATAAAAACGGTAATTATAAAATATCATGAATATCCTGGAACCGATTTGATTGAAATTTGGTACTTTTATTTGTAAAATTTTCTAAAATTTCAGCATATCAAGTGTCAATTATATTTTTGGCGGAAATAATGGAAAACTCATTTCTCCAATGCAGGTGTTCATGATATGCAATACAGGTGCTTTATTTTTTTTTTCTCGAAATCGAAGCTGGAAATGAAGAAAGTACAGGACAAAAAAGTTATATTTCGAGTTACTCAATCTAAAAAAAAAATAAAAATTTACCGAAAAGGGTCAGTGGCGTACTTTTTTTCACAATATTGTTGGCTGTGGTGCCCACTGAGACGCCACTGGCCCCAATAATTTCAATCTAAATTGGGCTAAATGAGCGCCTTATTAGTTCGAATAAAAGTACCAAATCTTAACCAAATCGGTTTCAGGATATTCATGATATTTTATAATTACCGTTTTTTTTTCTTTAATTTCAACGTCCTGTATCTCAGAAACGAAGCAACTCCGGACATATGTTAATAGGAACGTTTCTTCCTAAAATGACATAACGAATCACCACCTGCCACCATAGTTAGGAAACACCCTGTATACTATTTTTTACGCTGGCGAAAACACAAAAGTTAGGAAAGAATAAAAATTTTGTCGAAGTGTTTTGTCATAATTATTAGTAGTAGTATAGTTTGTGGAACTCGTATATTGACAACATGCATCAACAAATATCAAACTGAAATTTATGAAAACAGCTTTGAAAATGGTTAACGGTTATGGAAAAAGAAATCGAGGGAAAACCCTAAGAAACTATTGATACTGCTTCTGCAGTGATTCTTAACTTGCTACCAGTGAGATCTAGAAATCTGTATGATGCAGCTTATACTCGCTTCAGAAAAGGGTGTTACGAAAAGAAAGCGCAGAGCTATGCGGAAAATGTAAAGTTAGTATAAACTCCCAAGGGAGAAAATATGTCACATTATCTCCCTAGGGAATAATACGAGACTTCTGCCCCTCTACTACTCCCGCCGGCATGAAACATGTAGTATTACTAGCCTTGGCTATCAATCTGCAGACTAGACTATAATAGACAGGCTTTCGTCCTTGGTACATAAATAACTATTTTGTAAAGGTCGACGAAAAAAAAAAAAAAAAAAGAAGAAAGAAGTCGCTTACCTGACGGTGGCGTTGTAAGTATAGTTGTTCCGTTCGCCGCCGCTGTCATCGTCCGAATACTCCCTGCCCCCCGAAGCCCTATTATACCCATCTCTGTCTCTGTCGCTGGAACGGCGCTGCTGAAATGAGCTCGAAATGGAATTATTGGTGAGAGAGGAGCCCGATGGCGATACGACGGATCGGTTGCGTTTCGGGGAAGTCGATACGTCCTACAGGAAGGCCGAGAACAAAAAAAGAGTCGTTGTCAAACTTTCAATTATCACCGAAAGTTTTTTCGAGATTTTGAAATTTTTCCCGAATCGATGACTACTTTTGACTATTCCACTCTTGTTGTCGAGAACAAATCCGGTATCGATTATTTTCACGAATTCTCCTGTATTCCAGCGATATTTTTAGTTTACTAAACTTTATCAGACTTGCTCTACCAATACAGAAGCCAGTGTTCCTAGTGGTAACGCATTATTCAAAGAATACAAGTTACTTCCCCTATGTGAGTTATATATTTCCTTGAAGTATTAACTAATATACATAACAAACGAGAACGTTAAATGAAACATAATTCAATACATAGTTATCAAACGCGAACAAAGAATGATTTCTACTTGTCCAACCTACGTTTGGCGCTATCTCAGAAATCATTTGACATATTGGAACTCAGACTATACAATCTCTTTCCTAAAAATTAAAATTAAACGATGAACTGCATACGTTTAAAATTAAAATGAAATTGAACGATTTTTCATTGTATTTCATGTACCCAATTATTTGTAATGACACTTGACTTGTCCGATAGCATAACTGCTCAGTGGATTAAATACACTTGAACTTGAATTGAACAATACGTGACCAACCAACCTCATTTTTCAGAGATAAAATTCTTGAACGTTTATAACGTCAATTATTTTGGTAGCCAGAATGATGGATGCAGTGGGCTCAACTCTCGCGAGGCGATCGGTTACTGTCTCAATCATGAAATTTTCATACGAATTCATACGAATACAACTCGTGATACTGATTGACATACTCCAGCTTGCTGCTTTAATTTCGCTCATGACGTTGATTCAAAACTTCTCGCCTACGGCTCGAGAGTTTTGATAAACAATGGCATTCTTGAAATTATTAGACAACCAGCTGTTGTTACAATCGCCGAATATTACCGGCAAAATAGTATCATTTGTGGTATTACATATGAAAAAAATATTTTCGAGGAATAATGTATATTGCAAAACAACGTTTGTCCGGTCAGCTGTAATCAATAAAATTATTCGAAATAAATTCAATGTTTGTTTACTGTCTTTCCTCCAAATTTAGTTTAGTAAGTAGCTTAGTAATGCGCGCAGGGTACAGCTAGTCTTAAATTAACGAAAAATATATCACTGCAATACAGGAGAAACCATGTGAATGGTCGATTCTGATTGGTTCTCGGAAACAAGAGTGGAATAGCCACAAAAAATTGAACAAGGATAATTTCCAATTCTACATGAGTTCTACCGATCATGTACAAAATTTAGTAGGCAAGTTGATTTCTTCTATTATAGCCATCTCTGTCTGTCGCTGGAACGGCGCTGCTGGATCGAATTCAAGATGGAATGGGCGAGTGGACTGATAATAATGAATTATTGGCATTCATTTACTCCACTGTGTCGTTAGGGACCTAAATTGATTTTTCCAACACTTCTCATTTTTTTTATGAGGGTAAAGTAAGTAAGTAAGTAAGTAAGTAAGTAAGTAAGTAAGTAAGTAAGTAAGTAAGTAAGTAAGTAAGTAAGTAAGTAAGTAAGTAAGTAAGTAAGTAAGTAAGTAAGTAAGTAAGTAAGTAAGTAAGTAAGTAAGTAAGTAAGTAAGTAAGTAAGTAAGTAAGTAAGTAAGTAAGTAAGTAAGTTTATTCAAAATTGTTGAATTTCAGAGATCATTTCGCGAGGTGATTTCTAGTAGTATCCCGAGTAAAATATAAAAAAATTATCTTTTATAGTATGACGAAAGTAAGTTGGTATTTTTAGCACCTTTGCTCCTTGTAACCTCCCAAAGGCACCATGACCTAAACTTCATATCGCCCATCGTTTTTACATGTGTTGGGAGCATGCGCCTGGAAACTTCCAGCTTTTATGAAATAAAGAAGGTCTGGCGTTCATGGGATCTTGGACTAATGCAAAAAAGTTTGAGCAATATTTAATGTATCCCACCCTGTATTATACACTCCTGAATGAAATTTTCATTTTATTTTCACTGCATTGGGCATGAAAAGTTTAGTTTTTGTACCGAATTGCATCATTTCATCACATAGCGTTGCAGAAATATTAAAAAAATATCATCTTCAGGAGCCCCTTTTAGGGGGCCGTAGCTCCCTTAGGAGATATTTATTGATTCATATTCATTTGACTTTTTCTTCCTATTTTTGGTCGTACAACCGCTGGTCGAGTATGACACGCTAATTTCAGGACAAAACATACATAATAAATCAGAACAATAGTAATTGCGAAATCATTGTTTTTCATAAAGAAAAAAACTAAAATATAAAATGAAAATATTATAATCCATTCCAAGTTATGAGCTCGTAAATGATTAGTAGATATGGAATTGAAGTATACGAGCAGATATTTCTTCAAATTGATTTCAAATCTTCTAATTTTTTCTTAGACGTTGCGATGACATTTAAAACTACGGAAAAATATCTTAACTCCGGGGCAATGTGAAAGTCAGACTTCTGCATTCGTAAACGGATTTTTCTGAAATTTGGTACTGTTACTGTTATGTAAGCAATCATTTCGGATTTGATGACATTACAATCTGATATGGCGGACATCCGGTTTTTCTGGAAATGACAGCAATTTCGTTTTTTCAAATGGAACACTGTATATTTTATGCAATATACAGGGTGGGTCACGGTCGATGGCACCTTAGACGTTTACGGAGAACGGGACATAAGATCATTCTGAAAATTTGGTTACTCAAGTAATTGCTCTTGATCTATCGATCTGAAATATTTCCAGCTCTGCGGCGTTGCCGCTTCTATCGAAAAGTAGCGACAACTTTGTTATTTTAAATGGAACACCCTGTATTTTATCGCATTTTCAGATTCTCTCTGAAGAGCTGATTCCATCGATGTATCACACTTGGGGTCTAGCGGAAATGATTACAGAGATATAGGGTGTGAAAAATCGACATTTTTCAACTTTCAGAATTTTTTTTGTCGAAACTATTCATTATTGGTCAAAACGGCTCACATGTCCCTATCCCAACTTTTGATCAACTATCTACTGACATTTAATTGAAACAAATACAGGGTGGTGCAGAATTCAGATTCTTGATCACCCGGTATATGTCCCAATTAAATATCAGTAGATAGTTAATCAAAAGTTGAGATAGGGACATGTAAGCCGTTTCGACCAATAATGAATAGTTTCGACAAAAAAAAATTCTTAAGTTGAAAAATGTCGATTTTTCACACCCTATATCTCTGTAATCATTTCCGCTAGACCCCAAGTGTGATACATCGATGAAATCAGCTCTTCAGAGAGAATCTGAAAATGCGATAAAATACAGGGTGTTCCATTTAAAATAACAAAGCTGTTGCTACTTTTCGATAGAAGCGGCAACGCCGCAGAGCTGAAAATATTTTAGATCGATAGATCAAGAGCAATTACTCGAGTAACCAAATTTTCAGAATGATCTTATGTCCCGTTCTCCGTAAACGTCTAAGGTGCCATCTACCGTGACCCACCCTGTATACGTCTCAAATATATCCTCATTCATGGCTAACACAATATATGTGAAAGCCAACACACAAAAAAATGTCTGGGGTCAAAAAAGTGAAGATGATGAAGTGAAAATAGGAGATATCATACTGTAAAACAGGGTGTTTCATTCAAAAAAGTCAATTTGTGGTTTGTCACGCTTTTAGGGATCCCCCTGCAAAACTTACGCTGAGGACTGTAGAAAGGCTTCATTGCGGCATTCAACTTATGCATATCGTTTGTTTTTTTCTCGATAAAAAATAACGTAAAAATAGGTCTTCTCGATGAATAACCCTGTAACAAATTTCAGAAAAATCCATTCACGAATGCAGAAGTTACAGGGGTGGCCCGATACCCTGTGTCACCCGGTATAAAATTATTACACTATGTGACACTTTTCAAAATGACGGAAGTTTTGAAACGTCTTACTTTACGTAACTAGTTTGTTGTGTAAAGTTGAATATTACATAACTAGTGATGAAATATTCAACACCAGTTACGTTATAAAAATATGGATGGACGAAGAGAACCCTGCATTGTATTTGTAACCATATGATTGTTTGATGGATACTTCAAAGTGACGGGCGAAGTCAACTTACCTACTATATCTTGTACATAATCGATAAAACTCATGTAGAACTGGTCATTATTTATTTTCAAACGAAATTTTCTATCGAAATTAAAAAAAAATTGTACGTAATACGTTAGCAATCGCATTTTGTGTAACTCTGTGTTTTGCGGGACGAGCAAAACTTCAATTCATCGACAAAATTGAGGTGTATTTGGTGAAAAACAAACAATTGACTCAATAACAAAAAATCGGAAATGCAAACAAATGCGCGAATTATACCAAGAACTTGAGGCTTTCATAAATCACCACTAGGTAGCGTACGCTTATCGCGAATAAAAATGTGTTTTAATTAGCCAAAGTTCGTTTTAAATTCCAATCAACTAACGTTGTTTTCAAATTAGGAAGTAAAAAACAAAACTGTTCTCAAACCTACCATACTATACATGCAATAAAATGAACTGCTCCCACCTTTCAAATAAAAACCTTTCTCTAATCGAAAACTGTCCACAAATCCATTGAAAATGGCGTAAAATATAGTCAACAATGAAATAACCCATCCCATCACCAAGTAATCCATAATTATATAGTTTGTATTAGGAGTGGAAACAAAAATATCAGAGAACTACTTATTGATATGAAATCTTATCTTTCAAATCTATTTCACCGTTAATTGTATTTCAATGAAATCACACGGTATTTATTATCAAATCAATGGAAAATAGAGATTGCGAACAAGAATTACAATAAGGTCGAACACAAAATTAGAAAACTGAAATTTTTTCTACCATCTCTGCGACAACTATTTTGAGAAACTAAAAATAAATCAAAACATACTGCTGATGCAAAAATAAACATTGCCAAATGAATGAGTCCAAAATATAGGCCAGCATTTAGGACAATGAATTCACAATAATTTTAGAATTCATCAAAATCTCATATATGGTCTGGAAAAATATAAAGCATTTGTCTATATCCGAAACATTGTTACAGAAAACAAATGTATTTTTCTGAAAAGTATTGAAGCTGACGTTTCTCTTACTGAGGCAACACTTTCTAGTGTCAAGGAAAAATAAATTGAAGTTCAACTTTTAGGAATTTGAAATGAGTAATAATTAATCAAAAGCTCGAAGTCATATTTCCATGAGTTTCCAACAAAATGAACAATAACAATGGTAGATGACGGGAGAAAAACAACAACTTTCCTGACTAATGCCACACAGTATATAAATGGCGATTTTGATTTGGATTGGGTCAGGTTTTGCTGTTTGGTGACTACCCTGAACTGATGAGAACCGAAAGCTCGAAACCGGTTTGTAGGTGTCAAGCGTTAAATTAACTAAAATCGAAGACAATTCGGCATTTAGAAAAGAAAAACTGGACTTGACAAGTGAAGTTTTTTACATGGCAATAATTTTGTTTTGGCTCATATAAATGAATGATGAATTTTTTCGGACAAAGAAATTATGGTGAAGATGAAGAAATATTGTAACAAATATCTTTTGTTCTTCACATTTCCCCAAGTTGATACAGAAAAAATCCTGAAGGGAACCTTTAACATCCAGTGACATCCACATTAAATTCTAATCAGCTTTTGAAAATTGTTTTGTTGAAAATACAAGTAAAATTGTTTCAACTTTAATTCTAAAAATGTTTCGGTCAGAAAAATAATGTCTATTTTGACTGGTCTATTACTTTTGAACTATTCCAAAATAATTCGAATTTTTATGAATATGTTTCACTGATGAGATAGGCCAAAATATGTAAAATTGATTTCCTATTGGTTTTACCTAGAAAACGTTTAGTATACACTTATACAGAATTTTAATTGAGTATTTATTAAATTCAACGGGTGAACCTTGTGATTCTAATACAAAATCAATGATAAAATTATACAAATATTCAACTGAATTTAATTGAATTAAGAACGTTATTGATCCTAATTGCAAAGAGTGTCTCCAAGACATTTCATATCTTTTGTGAAGTGTTCAATTCCGAATAAAACATAATAATTATTTTTTCTTCAAGTTTCAACATTGAAAATTGACACCTGAACTACATTTTCCAGAATTCGAAAATGAAAGGAAAACCCAGCTGAAAAAGCATGCACAGTTATTATTACTAATGTTTATATATTAGTAGTTTTAGTATGATGAAGATATTCCATAACAAGATACAAGCAATATTAACCCCACTGGAAAGTAGGTACATAAACTGCTGATCAATCGAACCGCATCAAGCACATTTTTGTTCGAAATTCAACATTGAATATTTTCGCGAAAATTCCACTTATTCAGATGCGGTTCCCTTTATTCTGAAGATTGATTCATTGGGTATATGACAGATAGACCGCTGATGGAGATACATGGTAAAATCTGGCTATACAGGGTGACAAACAAACCTCTGTGAAATATCGAAAAATTCTCCATAATCCCAATTTGATGGAAATTTATGAGATTATTTTTCATAATTCTCAAGCATATTCCTCGAAATGGTTACGCAATTTTTCTCTCATCTTTACAGATTTTCGAGAAAAGGATTTTTTTTTCCGAAAAATGTGATAATTTGTACAACTGACCAGAAATATTATTATTTGTAGCTCAAATATCACAGATTTGCTCTTGGGTGAGCTATTGTGACCTTTATTGTATGGAATCTTATATGGTTTATATACAGAGTGTTTGGCAACTCCAGAAGTTCGAAAAAAATTCCAATACCTACTTCCTGTCCCTATCCTCCCTAGGAACGCACGATGTTCTTTGAAAATTATAGGGATTCCCTTTCGTGCGCTCCAAGCGATAAAAAAAAACTGAGCAACATTCCAATGACGAGTAAGAGTAAGAGAGATGAGTAATAATTCATTGATATACCTCATACATTTTTGAACTCTCAAAGTTTCATTGCATAAAACTTCCACCAATCTTGGTATATCACCCTGTATATTCTTTCTCCCGTTTTTTTTTTCTGCAACTTCAAGGAAAGTTGCTGTCACTATACAAGTTGATCAATGTGTTATGCTCGGTCTTCCTCTAATATCTATCAAATAAGAATATGTCTGGTCAGTAGTACAAATTATCACATTTTTCGAAAAAATAATCTTTTTCTCGAAAATCTGGGAAAATTGCGAAACCATTTCGAGGAATATGCTTGGAAAAAATCTCAAAAATATTTTGCAGAGGTTTGTTTGTCACCCTGTATACCCAGAGGTTACTATGTATTTCCATCAGCGGTCTATCTGTCATATACCCAATGGTTCAATCTTCAGAATAAAGAAAATTGCATCCGAATAAGTGGAATTTTCGCGAAAATATTCAATGTTGAATTTAGAGCAAAAATGTGCTTGATGCGGTTCGATTGATCAGCAGATTAGTTATTCAAATTCGATGCTCATAATTTGGACCTCATGACTAGAAAGCCATACTCAATTAATTTTTTCAAAAAAAAAAAAAATCTTGAAAATCCTCAAAAAAATCACCATATTGTTTTACGTAATTCATTATCCAGAAACACATTTCATTTATTGTTACTATTTTGGAAATTCCTAGTATGATGGGAAAACTGTGAATGTGGAAAAGATGTAGGTCCGTATTTTGAAAAAAAGTTAAAGACAACCATAAGTAAAAAAACCTGAAATCTAAAAGGAATACGTCGAATTTGAATATTTTTTTTTCCATATCATCAAGCAGTTACCCATTCAAAATTGAATTCATTATTTACAAGTTTCATGGAAAAGTGTGATTCTACGTATGGTAATTTTGCACTTATCATGCGATGGGTTTTTTTCCGAAAATTGTTTTTGGTACTTACCTATTTTTGTCTGAAAAACACGAATTTGATAATGAAAATGTGAACAAACCACTATTTATCGAGATATTTCAAGGAAAAGTTCGAAATTTTGCCTTCTTTTCCTCCTTGTGTTGGATGCATTTACAGGTACTTGCCCTTTTTATTTTGTCATTGGACACTTTATGTACTCATGATGTACTTTAATGACACACATTTTAAGATAGAAAATTCAACAGGAAATATGATTTTTATGGCGAGTTTTTCCTATTTAGTGAGCAAGCATACCAGATAACGGCCATTTAATCCATAGGCAATCCCGGCAATCCAAATACAAGATGTCAAATGTCAATAGATTGCATTGGAATGACATTACACACGCCATCATTTCAAATTCTTCCTTCTTTTCACTAAACATGGATAAATCACAAAAAAATCATATTTCTAGTTGACTCATACAATAAAAAAAATGTGACTGAAATTGTCCAATGATGGAAAAAGAAGGGCAGATTGTTCTAAATGCGATCCAGAAGACAGGCGGAAAAGAAGGCGGAATTTGTTACTTTATAGTGAAATATCTCGATAAATAGTGGTTTGTTCACATTTTCATTATCAAATTCGTGTTTTTTAGACAAAAATACGTAAGTACCAAAAAAAATTTTCGGAAAAAAACCCATCGCATGATAAGTGCAAAATTACCCTACGTATTGATAAACACAAAACTGAAAATGACTTCCAACACGCAAAACACTTTCAACACGCAAAACACAAACTACTTACGTTCAGCTGTGTACTTTTTCCGACGTAACTATCCTTATTATCCATATCATTTTTAGAATTATTATCCTGCGATTCCGAGTTATTTTCATCCCCCTTTTGGAGATCCCTCGTCGAAATGTAAGAGGCGAAATCGTTCACTCTGGAATTGCTCCGGGAGGGGGCCGCTCCTGAACTCAACTCTTCCCTATCGATTTCTGTCCCATTTGCATGATTTCCTTCTCCGTTCACTTCCAATTTTGAATTTGACTGGAAAATGTCAAGTGTTACTTTGACATTTGCTCAATGCCGGACTGTCGTTTTTCAACTGGTAATTTTGCATTCACCGAGTGTTGCATTATATAAATGAGTGGTATTCCTTTTAGTGTACTAGGTGTACTACTAAGAAAACCATTTTCCGCATAGGTTTCCGCCATTTTGCCTTCTCGTTTGCCCCACTTTCATAGTGGAGAGAGAAAAATATACAGAGCTTCCATTTCAAAACTTACCACCCTGCATATCTTCTGATCTGCGAAGATTACAATTTTCGGCAAAAACAGGTCGATTTAGTTATCGAGAGGGAAGTAAAATAACAGTATCAATTGAATGCTATGTTCATCCCCTTCACCTCCAGACACCCCTACTTTGAAATCTCAAATGGCACCCCCTACTTCGAGATACATAAAATTGAAGGTCTATCAATGATCAAATCAAATCAATTCTTTCTCGGTCTATTCAACAGAAAACAATTAGTTTCCTGGCTATATGCCATGACGAACATTGAATTACATCTATTATTATCGTGTATGTTCAATAGATGTAATTCAATGTTCGTCGTGGCATATAGCCAGGAAAGTAGTTGTTTTCTGTTGAATAGACGGAGAAAGAATTGATATTTTCATCACATAGAGAATGCGAATTCTCAATGTATTTCTTCATAAATATATCCATTTTTTTATGTTTATAATTATATCTGAGAATATTCCTTTTCAATACTTTCACCCAATCAAAGAGTTCAAACTTGAACGATGGAAACTTGTTATTTTTATAGACCTTCAATTGCAGATTCGTGATTAGGTTTTCTCAATTCAGAATTTCTTTCCACGTCCTGTATAATGAATGTCAATTATCATACATAAAAAAACGACTCGATTTGTGAAATATCTGATCGAACTGAAAGAACCCTTCATATGATATATTTCCAAATCAAGTGATTAAATAACTATTAACCAACTAGTGTATTAATGAGGGCGATTAATGATCGAGATATTTCAACGTGCAAGCGAAGCGAGCGCGTTAATGTTCGAGATCATTAATCGCCTTTTAATATACAATATAATATATTACAGAATTTTTCCGTCGACTATGTTTCTCATTTCTCCTGCAATGAAGAAAACTTGGTTAGGAAACTACTAAGAATCACCCAGTAGCCTTGTTACTGACATTAGTGACATTTGAAATTTGTCGAAATTATCAACATGGAAAATAAATTCCTTGTGTTAGAAAACAGGGATTAAAATCATTCCAGAAACTTGGAAAGGCGAACCCGTTAACGGAAAATCTTCAATGAAATCTATATTTTCGATTTAAATGCAGATTCCGTAAGTTATAGCATAAACAATGAATGCATGCGGTGTATGTTTGGTTGCCTATAAAACAATCGTGCATTAATAGACAAATTGATCATTAATAGGGGTCATTAATGAACGATTTCATAAACATTAAACTTACTTGTTAATACGATGTCGACGGAAAAATACTATTAATACACGGAATGATCAATATAGAATAGGTATGTGGCGTAAATTCGACTAGTGGTGTACAACCTCATTGATTTTCTTGTTACTTACACATAAGATAAGTCGAAAGAAACAAGATGGCGGACACAAGTAAGTCAAATTAAATATAACACTTTGATGTAAACAAGGTTTTATCGAGGGCCATGCAGTGTTATCAGTATAATACTGAATGATTGGCTAAAGTAACACGCATTGCTATTAGTTGAAACATCGAAAATGTATTATTTTGACATGTGAAATAAATAATCGAAAAAAATATGCCACGCGCGATAAGTGCAAAATTACCTTGTGTTTACTAGTAGAAACGGTGTTACTCGATTTTTTAACGGCTTTTCCGTTGGATACTTTGACGCCGACAGGCGATTCTGACGCCTTGAATTTGACGTCGATGATAATCTTATTATTTTCGGGTGATTTCGACAGGCGTTCGTCGAACTTTTTGCACAAATTCGCGACCGACTCTCGATTTCCATTGTAGTCCTCGTCGTTGGAGTTTGAGTCGGTGTTAGTATTGTTAGGATGCGACACACTGTTGTTAGCGTACACACTCTCCACTCGGTCGGTTACCTTTTTCTTCGTGGTCTTCGACTCGATTGGTGGCAAACCTATAATTAAGAGAACATTTTAATATAGTGAATTACCTAATAATTTAAAAAATTGCAAAAAAAATTGCCAGCAAAGAATTTAGCCAGATTGATCACCCCGTAACATTTTTAACTCTTGTCCGATTCTGGTAAAATTTCGACCAAATAAAATATTTATGTTCTAGAGTTTATCATTATACAGGAAAAACCAAAAGTAACTCTTCCATTCTTAACTTCTTTACGATCTGTGGCAAAGGTGAGTGGTTGAAATTAACTTCATTCATTGGATGGAAGAAGGATCCCTCCTCAACTCAAGGGTTTTGTATTCACTTCAATATCTCATTTTGTAGAGAAGGTGCAAGGGTTTTAAGATAGAATGGAATTTTTCAATTTTCATTAACAATAATTCAGAACCATTCTCCAACCTTCTGCTTAATCATATTTTGGGTTAAAGTGTGATCTTTTTTTATACTTCTCAACACAATGAAATGTTTTGAGAAAGTATAGAATTTTTTAATTTTCATCAACAATGATTCAGAATCCATAGAGTATCTTTCGGATGAATTCCAGAGGCTCATTCGCCTTCGTCTGGACTTACTAGAGACTCTTCAAGAGCTACGATTCGCCTTTCGAGAAGAATTTGAGGCAATTCTTCAAGACTGCTCGAGGAATTTGATCAACTTGATGACACGGCGGTTGAATGATGCAATTCAAGCTCGAAGAGGGCATATTCATTATTGACTACTCTGCTTTTCATTCGTTTTTAGTTAGTAAGATTTATCAACAGGGTGGAAATAATTGATATCAGATTTAAGAAGTTTAGCCAGAATTTCATCAAAATCGGACAAGAATTGATAAAGGTACAGGGCGATCAACTTGGCTTGATTTTTTGCTGGCCGGTTTTTTTTGCCAGTGGGTGTATAGTCGAAATCGAATATTAACTAAATTTCTACACACACAAATTAGGGTTATTAGATAAACATTTTTTCACCTTCATGTACGCTATCTATGGTAAGGATTCCTCTGGTTACTTAATTTTCTCATTGTAGGACTATGTAATTTTTCGTTAGGCTGATGATGGACATACGTATGTCCGAAAACATGTTCTCTTGATGTGATTATTCACAATGAATCCGTGAGTTTTCACAATAAATAGTCGTGGAGATGACTTTGTGTATTATTCAGTTTTATTACACACATTACATAAAACTGTTCGTTTTACTGTTTTTGATAAATCAATGGGGTACAGTATATCTTCAATTTAATTTCCGTATCTGGTACGATAATGACTTCATTGTGTTCATTATTTCACAATGTATGTCATCCCAATGAAATGTGAAATTAAAGCAATGACAGCTCTGTTTGATAGAAGAGCATTACTCAAGAGAAAATCAGATGGCTACAAACTGAAGAAATGAAAAATTTCGCTGCTATCTATTACCGTAGAAAAGTCGGCGACCTTTCACTTTTCAATATATAGTTCCACGGAAAATGTTCCTTAGAAATCTGTGCTATAATCCCATCACTAGCAATACCAGTCAAACGAACTCGACATGTCCAGTCAGCACATCCTTTCGTGGTTAACCTTGAAATATGTCGAACAACAATCTATCAAAACACGTTCGTCTATAGAACAGCGAAGCTTTGGAATTATTTGCCAATGGAAGTATTCCCAAGAACTTTTAACCTTCAAAAGTTCAAAAAAATTTCCAACACTCATCTCCGCTCCCTATTCTCCCGCACGATGTTCCACGAACATTATAGGAGTTTTCTTTCGTGCTCTCCAACAGGTAAAAAAACATCTGTTCAAAAAGCATAGTGTATAACTCGCACGGAATGCTAATTTCCCACTCGTATGATTTGCAGCATTCGCCTACGACTCATGTCTATATAACATTGCCATCTCTCTGAAAATCACACCTACATATTTATGTAGTTTGTCAACTGAGAAACAAAAAATTACGACTCAAACACAAATAAATCAAACAAACCAAAAACTAAGAAACTTGACATTTTTCTTTACCGATCCGAGAATTCGAATATATTCCTGCCCCTCGGCCCATTTTTTTCGTCGTTCGTCTTTCTTCCTAGCCAACCATCGCACATAATCCCACTTTTCCTTCATTTCCATCATCAATATACAAAACACTCTTCAACATACATTGAAATAATACTCATATTTCAATTAATACTAACGAGGAGAGAAAATCCCAAAAAATCTATTTAAATGAGCCGATATAATATTGTAGCCCTGTGAAGATTTCAAAAACTGTGGAGTGGTTTGGTTGGTTAATCGACTGATAAAAGAACGATGACCAATAAATCGTATGAAAAAGACCCTGAATATGGAAATTATTTATATGCAAATAATATCTTATGGTATACAAAGATTGTTAGTGATGTTCTATATTCTATGCTATAACAAATATTTCAAATATTGATCTTGATCTCGTTATATTTTTGTATTTCTGTATTTTCAATCTGCATGGAACAGCACCGATAAACATCCAATGAGGTAGACCACTGGGAGATTAAATCCGTCCAAACCTCATTCAATCGATAGATCATGATTTACATTCAATGGACAATCAATATTACAAGTTCAAGTTGAAAGGAATCGAATCCATAGCGTTTTGAAATCAGCATATTCCATTCAATGTTTCAAAAAGCCAGATATGAAGGGGAGCTGTGACATAATATTATTCCCGAGCTGTAGCTATCTCTCTCTCTCTCTCTCTGATACCTTGCAATTCTGCAGTGTTGCAGTGTGATTGGTCAGCTCAAGGACAATAGGCGTGTTGAGACTAATACGTCACACCAGTCACACCAATGAATTGACACCATTCCAAATGGCGCAGGAAATGTGTGTTTTCCAATGAACAATTATTTATTTATTCATTTATTTATTGAATCAAGTATAATCAATATACCGGGTGACACAGAACCATGCCCCCTTTTTTCTTTGTTTTTTAGCTATATTTCTGAAATTTGGAACATTGAATATGCTCACTAGAGGGAATGTTCTCACATTTTAGGAATTCTTTTTCGTCGTTCGGTTTTCCTGAAAATATCATCAACTTTCGATTTTCATATGGAACACCCTGTATTTTATTCCATTATGGATCAGGGATTATTATAACAAATTCAATTATACCGGGTTCCATTGGGTAATTTGAAATGATTAGGAAGATATTCGCGTTCGAAGTTTCCATAATAGCCCAAGAGCCGGCTGCAAATTTCGACTGACTATTAATTATATTAATTCACACTAGAGGACATTTGGTCCGAGACCTGACAACACGGCAAGGATTGTGGGCGTTGTCTTGTCAATTATCAGCATTCAGCACATGTTACCGGCGCAATATCGGCACTTCTTTCTTTGCCACACACATTGAGCAAACTTCGAACGCAAACCCGGTATTGTTGAATTCGTGATAATAACCGATTATGCAATAAAATACAAAGTGTTCAATTTAAAAACTGAAAGTTGATGTCATTTGCAGGAGAACCGGAAGATGAAAAAACACTCCTGAAATGTGAAAAAGTGCCCTTTAGTGAACATATATTCGAAGTTCCAAATTTCAGAAATAAAGTAAGAAAAACAAAGGAGACACACTCACCAATATCATTGATGGACTTGGACCTGGTCACGTTCTCGTTCCTCCTCAAACAAGCCGGCACGTAATTGGCAGGCGAATATTTGTTCCTCAATTCGGCCACCGAATCGATCACATCGACCACCTTGGTGCGATGATCGCCTCTCGTCAGCGAGCTCTCTCGGCGCGCGGAAGAGTAATCCGACACGGAATTCTCTCGGATCGAGCCGATGATGGAAGAGTCTCTCGACAGGCTCGGCTCTCTCGAATCCTCCCTGAATCTGGATGTGGTGATGCCGTCCTCGGTGACGGAACCGGACCTGCGGAAATACGATATTTCCTCACTAGCTCCGTAAATAATAATAATTTGTATTTATTTGTCCTCACAAAAAAAAAACAATAATCCCGAGGGCAAATGGGCGAAGTCTAGTCATGACCATACGAATCCAGTCAATTCCTACTCAACTTAACCCCAAACTGAATAATCATATTATTCTATTCAGAAGGTGAAATTTTATACCTAAATATTAATTATATAGCTAAACATTAATAACTTATCGACTAAATGATCCCATATAACCAGTAAATGAACTATAAATACACAATACAAAAGCAACAACAACAAATTCAATACGATAAATACCTTATTATATGATCTCCATTCATATGATAGAATCAACAATAATTTCAATAATTTTTTCATTGGCGAAGGAGAACAATATACAAAAACACTAACTACTTCTAGTTGAAAGAAATGAAGAGATTCATAAATAAGGGACGAGTGTCTACAGGCTGTTTCCCAATAAGTGTGACAAACTTCAGGGGGTGATTAATTATAATGTCACGAGTAGAACATTCGGTATATTAGCAATTTCGAACCATGAGGGTTTTATAAACATAAAGTTGATCAAATCATCCGTTGACATTGAACTATGAAAACTGACCAAGGAACTCTCATGAGAAACGTGCAAATCTAATAAAATGATATCGATATGAATGGACTAACCATCTATTATATCGTGACAATGATAATAATAATAATAATATACAAATTGCAGGGCTTGCCGCAGGGCGCCCGAGACAATCATGCAACTGCTGTCTTCTTGCACGGCAGTCACGGCCTATATCCATAGACACAATTTGGCATTGCGAGGGCTCTACTACCATTTGAGGCACTCGTACGGAATAGACGAGACCCCAGTGCTGCCCTATGCTCCGGAGGATATTGAGTCCGTTGTGGAAAATGAGAAGTGCCGAATTCATTGGAACTTCTCATTCTCCACCCTCAGGCAAATACAAGCTAACAAGCCTTATGTAGTCCTCCTCGACCATCAAACCAAAGTGATGTTCGTGATCGAGTTTTCGGCGCCAGCCGAACCGAAAATTGTTTTGAAGGAGGAGAAACGGACTAAATATCTAGATCTTCTCTTCAAACTCCGCAGGCTCTATCCAGACCATTCTGTGGAATTGGTCATCCTAATAATCGGCTCCCTAGGAGGCACACGACATACGCTGCTCTCGGAAATCCAGAAAATCTCAGCATGCAGTGATAAGGCACACATCCTGGCTGGTGGAATGCAGAAGGCCGTCATACTTGGATCATTGCGTTCAATCAGGGCACACGGTTCTTGGCCCCAGTGATTATTTACCCCACAGGCTGTGGGGAGTAGTCACTGGATTTTATCCAACACGACTCTGCGTGGCGTCAGAGGCCGCAGAGTCGTGACGTGACTGGAATAATATGAATTCAAAATAATGATAACAGTTTCATTTCCCACCAAGTATTACAATTAAATATATTGTAAGATTCTAAGTTGGGGCATCGTAGATAGACACAATGACACATTTATTCACTCAGGATGACTTGTTCCAATAAGACCTTTTATTATTATTTTGTTTTTTAAGTTGACGTCACATAATATTTGTCGCAGACGTAACTATTTTATATTGCACGATATCGCATGATTTTGAAATATAATCTGGTATGACAATAACAATCCGGTTCACATGGAAATTCCATGGAATTCATCCACATTTTTTCAGTGATAGATTTTTTTCAACTGAGCAGTGCTATTATGTTTGTTCACAAAAATATCACAGGCGAGTAAAACCAAACATGCTTGAGAATATAGTTCACAGTTTGATCAATTTCAATGAAGCAAATTTAACGGAGTAATTCAACTCGACTAACTAGATCAATGATGACTAATAACTTTTCATTGTTTGATTGGGTGATAGAGTTTGAAGAGGGGCATACCAGCAATGTGGATTTTGTACACCAATTCTCATTGATTTTCATATTAAATTCAAAATTCGTGAACTCTCACAATTTTCCTCCACTTTTAAAAAGTTCTGAAGGGTATATTATGATGTAACATGCATCAATTGTTTAATTAAAGCTGAATATGTAGACTCATAGGATAAGTATTTTTCCACTCTTACCGATACTTCAGAATTCAATTATTCGAATATTATATTTTCAAATAAATATATGTCGTAACCAATTCCTTGCAATATTCTGATTATAGAACCAAAAATCTGCAAACCACATCGTTTAATGGCCCTTTTGTTGGATTTGACCGCCTTCGGCACATCGGCTAACATATTCTTCATATTTCATCGACGTAATGTAGAGATGTAGGTGAATCCTACTTCTGATGTAAGATTCTAAGTTGAGGCATCGTAGATATATACATTTTTAACACTTCAACACATTTAATCACTCAGAATGACTTGTACCATTGTCGTTCTGGATGACAACCTAGTTAGGTAGTTAGTAGGCAGGAGCTATAATATTGTCTGTTCATTGAAAAGACAAATGAAGAAAATATGTAGTTCAGAGACATCTACGTGAATTAAGTAAACTAAGTTATTCATTTTTTATTCCTAACCGTAACATTTTTCATGGTCCTGTCAAGTTTGTAAATAAAAATCTGTCATGTGGAATCCCGAAAATGAAACATTATCACCAAGGATATTATCAAGTATGAAAACCATCTACCTATACTTGAATGGAAGCAGGAAGATGTTTAGGCAATGCTGTATTAGTATGATTCATGATGCAACTTGAAATTGAGTTGGAACTGTGGAAACTTCGGAAATTCAATAGTGCTATTACACTTTTTCGACATGCAAGCCAAGCAGAAAGGTAGGGGCTGCTTATTTCCTTCTATATTTTTGACAAGTTACTATATAATTCATGAAATTCCATTATTTGCAGTGAACACATGTCTTTAGTGATGTAAATCGGAATCACTATATACTTGAAAATTTCAGGTACCTACCTACAGCGGAGAGTACTTACATTAATAGCTTTTCAGTTGAAAAACGAAAAACTATGAGTGATTGGAAGTATCACATTAGAAATCATTATGTGAGTATCGAAGATGTGAGTAATGTTCAGAAGGAATGTACCAGAAGGATATGATGATGTTCGAGAACAGAATGGAAAATTTACCATCTGAAATAAATATATAGAAGCACTAAGGTTAGACTCAATCTGGTTATTTCATCAATCTCTTATGGATATTCTGCTCCAAACACAAAATATCATTTTATTTTTTATAGATAGGTACCTCCTCGAAAGTCGAGCTGCAAAAATATCCAGTTCACAAGATTTTATGAAAAAACACACAAGAAAATGGGGCAGTGAATAAAATCAGAAACTTTTCATCCTGTAGTTCGATGAGATGAATCCAGATAAGCAGTAAGAACAACGATTTGTTTGCTGGAAATTGCCAGTCCCCAGCATTTCATTCTAGGCTGCAAATTATACACACCCCAATGTATATTCAATTCATCTATTTTTCAAGCAATCAATTAGATGAGGAACATGATTGTGATATTCCACTCCAGCACACTCAGGACCATTTTCGTAGTGAGCCACTCAGAATTTCACTAAAGTAAAGTGATTTCAAGATATAGGAATCATCCCCAGATATATGGTATTCTATTGTTCAGGGTTCTTTGTCAAGATGCTGGGATATTTAGAATTTTTCATTGGAATATAACTTGTATGTATGAATGGCAATACAATTTTTTTAATAAATTGTACATAATTATGAAGAATTATTTCAATTTTTATTCTACTATATAGTTTGTTCTCTTCTGGATACCCTGTTTATTGTTGTACAGATGTATTGGCAGGTAAGTTTGAAAACACTATATATATTGTACCAATATTGTATATAGGTAAAGTATTTTTGAAGTAAAACAATGATTATTTTTTATTAAATCATCTTATTGAAGCTACGAACTTCACTAAATATGAGAAGATGTGTCTATTATTGCCACAAATTAACCCACAGGAATATTCAATACCAATATGTATCTTTTTAATTTATATTCAAGTCAACATTTTGAATGAACTTTATTATTATTTATTATCATTCTATAATATCTGTTCAAATGCCCGTTTCCTCCTCAGATGCTTCTTCATCGTCAGGTCGTGTTCCTTAAGGCAAGAATTCCTCTTCAGCATCATATTCCAAACAACATTGATGAGTCTGAAAATATAAAAATATTGTCCCTAGTTTCAATGTCCTGTACCATTCTGAAATGAATTTAATGACTTTTGACTATGGAACAACTTTCAGAGGAATCAAAGTTCTTGGTGAATTTCATACCGAAACTAATAATTAGTTAGTTTTAGTATAGGTACAAACTTGTTAAATACCATTTTATTTATATATTCCTACCTTGAACAAACTTGGAACCGTACTCTCTTTCCAAAACCGTTTCCTATTCTTCATTGGCAAGAAACAGTTCCCTTAAAATGTTGGAAACATATAGTATCATGTTCGCTCACTTCAAAAACTCACATTCCTGAAATATAAATATCATTAAGTTTCAAATATTATGCGATTCAAGAAAAAAAGTTCACCTTGATATCCAATGAATATGGCGTGAACCCATTGATTCCTCAGGATTTGAGGCTCAAATTCACAACAATGGGGATTGGAGAAACCATGTCTTGATAATTCAATTACACCTTCACCTTCTGGAGTGCGCAGTTTTCAGATGACATTGCAAAATAACACAATCGCACTCACAAACCAATCAACAAACTTTGATAGAAAACCAATACTAGAAGGAATGATTAAGTATAATTGTAATTTCCAAGAAAGGAAATCAGAGTTCAACACATCCACAAAGACGAAGTTATAAGTTAATGACAACTGTCAGAAAATGATTTTATGATTACATGAATCTTCTCCATCGTCTTCCTATCAAATATCACGTCAATGATGGAAAGCACGTCTGTGGTTGAGTACATATTGGAGAAAAATAGAAGAAGAGAATATCAACCTAATATGGTCTA